AGAGTGTATTTTACCTGTAAATTTCAATGTTCCTATAATTCCATTTCGGCTGTTCAAATGTTGCACTTCTATGAAATTTCCAAATATTTTGCTCAAATATCAAATAAGAAAATAATAGAATTTCTTCTTTTTAGGCTTTTCTTTGGACAAAAACAAAAAGAAAGAAACAAAGTAAATGAGTAAATCATTACAATGAAATTAATTAAATCATTACAGTGGAATTAAGCAAATAATTACAATGAAATTAAGTAAATCATTACAATAGAATTAACATATGCAATGCTCTAAAAAAAAAGTCTGGAAAGAACTTTTAATGTAAATAAATGAATGATAAAACTATGGGATAAGTGATACTTTTAGAATATCTAAAAAACAAACAAATTGAAGAGTGCTTAATAATTTAGATCGATAAATTAGAGCTTATTTGTTTATGAATATTATTTTTATAAAACTTTTTTAAGCAGAAAAGACAACAATAATTTGAATGAATAATCCAAATAGGTTTAAAAGAAATGAATGATATGACAAAATTACTATTTAACGAACGATTGTTCGTTAAATAGTAATTTTGCTTAGTGAAACTGTCAAATAGTAATATATATATATATATTTGGATTACTCATTCATATATATATATATATATAATCATAATTCAAAAAGCATATTTTGCAAATTGTTACCTATCGAATAACTCTTTCATCTTTAATCGTAAAATCTTTCAAATGATTTATCACTATTTTTTTTACTAATTTATCTTTAATTTAACTTAATATTGGAAAAATATTATATATTATATTATTCATTTAGATGGAATTATCTAATCAGCCATTTATTTGTTATTTTTTAATGTCTTTTTTGTTGAATTATTTTCGTTTGATCACTTTAATTTCTTTCATATTGTTTTTAAGGAAACTTTAATTTGAAATTTTTTACGATAAACTTATAAACATATTTGATAATAATACCCAATGAGCAATATTTCTTTTTTTTTGTGCATTTTTTAAAAAATAATTTTGCATGAATAATTTGGCAATGGCCAGTATATGCTTGTTACTTTTATAGATCAGTGGTTCTGAAAATTGCAGCAAGCTTTATGAATGCTTGAAATATAGCTCCCCGCTCCGTATCACATTCTATTTACTTTTTCTCAACATTCAGATACGGCAATAAATTATCACCAGTTTTTCTCTTTCCTGTCACAACTATTATACCAGTTAATTAAGTCGTTTTAGTTTATGAAAAAATTCTTATGAAATCTTAGTATAAGATTGTCTGATTCTATCTTATATATGTCCGTATCCGTAAATTTTCGTTAATTTTTACCTTTCTGCATTCCTTTCATAAAATAGAAAATCTTGATAGTGATGAAGAGAATATAATTCATCGCGATATTAATCAATTCAAAATTCATTCATCATTTGGTGATCGCTTCTCCTCGGGATAAAAAGTGGAAAAACAAAAGCCTTTTGTCATTTAATTTATTCCATCACAATTATAATATTTCTCATCTGTTTGTTGTAAATGAGCGCTAATTTTTCCATTGATAATTCCACTTTACAAGATTTCCCAAATTTTCCTGCAATTTGCTTTAAAAAAGGAACTTTAAGAACTCCAACTGATATCAAAATAGCAGTGGTCAACGAAACATCAACGAAATATACTTGGCGAAAACCTTTAACTTGACATGCATGACCTTTAACTTCCGAATCACGACCTTTTATTTTGCACGAAGATATTATTTCTAACTCATAGGCTGATTTGTTTAGAAGATATAATAACTTTAACTTTTATAAATTTGATTTTACGAAGTGTTTATGGCATAATTTCGTGGTATTTTCAAATTTGAAAAATTTCAAGCCTCATAGAAATAAGTAAAACTAAAGAAGAGAGAACATTTGAAAAAAGCTATTAACATATGGTTGATTATAATAGTTCAGGAAAGCAGCTGTTTACCGGAACAGAATTTTTTCAATTATTTTTTTTTATCCATCTGTTTGATTGCAAACAATTGCTTATGTATGCAATCCCTCTGAAGTTCTTTCTAAATGAGATCATTAAATTTTAACACTTTTTCTTTCTTTCTTCGACAAATGTTATTAATTTCAATAAATTGTTAATATGAGTATAAGTAAGTAAATAGTAAAGTAATGTGATTATTGTATGAAAACAGAAAGCAGTAATTTTAAAATCTTTCAAAGTAAAACGGAAAGGTAGAAGAACGGTTAAGAGACGTTCAACAAGTAATTTCCTAAAATAAATAAAATTTTCAATTAAGTAAATGATATACAATTTTTGTTGAAAATAATTTTCATAAAATAAATTTTCTGAAATCACAATCCAAATTTTTAAAGCTAAAATTTATTAATTTGTTCAAGTAATGATTTTCTTTTTAAATCATTATTTCAAATTATGATACATTTTCAAATGATCAAAGTAACATCGAAGTTATCAGTAACAATCATTTCAATAGCATTAACATTTTTAACGTTGCATTTTCCCTGTAAGTGAAAGTTTTTTTAACACTGATCATATAATTAAGTATATTGTGGTTAATTAGTCGTCAATTAACTACGAACTATTTGACTTGAACATATTGATGCAATTATTGAAATCTTTTCTAATTCATAATTGAAGAAATTTCATAAATCTCATGAAACTTCGACTTCCTCACTTTTCTGTTCTCTCCGAAAAAGTGGTGTGTCGAAGCTATGATATCATAATATATAATATGATATCATAAGCTTATGAAGTTATTGCAAATCAAGAAATACACGCTGTTATTTGAATGGCTACAATAACATTGCTAATAAATTTCGATTATTTCATCATTCTATTTGTTCCATCATTATTTTAGTTAGTTGTATGTAAATTCTTTAAAGATGTACGATTAAAAAATTCAACAATGAAAGAGAACTATCAAAATTCACTGATAGGTGATAATAACGGAGTGATAGATCAAATGGGATGATTTTTGACTTTCCACATAAAGCCTAATTCAATTTGTAATTTCTATTATTATTATTATTAGGAAATATGTTATACTGTATTTTTGGATGAATTGAAATAAAACTATCAGATATTGAAATGAAATATGATTACTCAGAAAATACAGAAGTGCAATAAAATAATTTTATATTCTTTGTAAATGCTCATTTCAGTTATTTCAATAGTAATTTTTAAATGAAAGAAATATTTTAATTTCCATTGCAACGAAATTTGTTCTTTTCAAATCTGATCGTAAAATTTCTGAAATTGATAATTTAAAATTTTTATTTTTAAATCAAATACATTTTAAAAGCTGGAAATTATTTAAATAGCTAATATTAAAGTAGAAAAATGCAAAGTATATATATATATATAATATATACCTTTCGTCGTGCTTTTCTTCTTTTTCTTTCTTCAATTTTATTACTTATATCTTAGTGGCAAGTGCATTTTAAATCAGTTTGTTTTTTTCTTTTCTTTCTAAAAATGCTAAAAAGCTTAAATATTGAAAAAAAGAGGAATGAAAAATAAATTTAATCAAAAATTATTAACATTACAGACAGTTTACCTAATGAAGGTACGTATGCATGTTAAGGAATTTCCTTTTCTTGCTCTATTTAATTGGAATTGAAAATTTTTATTATTATTTCTTATACATTTTATGAAATTCTCATATTTCTAAAATTATCATCCTTATTGTGCTCTAATCTTTTATCATATCATTTTCAAATTAGCGTATGAAATTAATGAAATAATAGCATTAAAAAAAACATTATATTTCATAGTATAAAAATGCATGAATGTGATGAACCAAAATTTGTGCCATAGTATTTTTAAGCCATTTAACATTTCAAATTATCTTTTATTTTGCTATTATATCCGTTTATCTCATATATTATTTAATTATAAGAGAAAGAAAAAAAAAAACATCATTAACTGAAATTTCATTTTTTGATTGATAAATCGTTCCTATCAAAAAAGGTTTCATTCAATTAGAAAAAGACTTAGAGAGAAGGAAACGAGCGTGTAAGGATTCATTACATCTTCCATATAATTTAACTAAACTTTACAAGTCTTTCTACCTTCCATATACCTAAAGTTTTTTTCATTTATATGCCTAAAGTTATTATTTCATTGGTTATAATAATAATAATAAGAAGTTATGTGTTGCGGTGCTAACACAATATTCCAACACTGATTGTTTTTAGCTTCTTACATATTGATATTCCTTTTAAAGTATTCATCATTTTCGTCTACTCTTTAATTTTTTTTTTAAATAGCCTGAAATGATTGTACTCACTGAAAATTTGTTTATCCACGTTAAATTACTGGGGCATCCAAAGCCGGAAATCCTGTAAAATGGTTTAATATTTAAATTGGATCAAGTGAAGTGTTGATAAAAGGATAATCATTTCCTTTTTTTCTTTCTTTCTTTTTAAAAGATTTAGAACATTACTTGTTTAACAAAACTAAGCAAAAAATTTTCCAAAAACTAATAACATTTATCTTTCCGGATTGACTACCACTTATTATCAATTCCATAATATCACATCTATTATATTGTTATTGCTAGTCTGTTACATCTCAAAATTTTAATACTATTTAATAAAAAAATTTTTTTAATCATCTAAAACACTACTGTTAACTTTTCCAAATAATTCATATCCTAAAACAATAAAAGATAAATTCGCACACCTTATTATCTATCAAACAAAGGATGATCATTGTGATAATTGAAATGCAAAAATTTAGAATTAAAGAAGAATTAATTCTGATTTCGATTGTCACTCTTATTAACAAATAATTAAATAAGTAAATATACATAGATATTCCTATTCGTCTGATTTCCATTTTTCAAATTGAATTAAAGTTTATATTCGAATTGCTTTTTCAATTCTTTCTTTTTATTGCTATTACATCTTACAACGTGTATTATTTGATTTACCAACGAAATATCATTTATATTGAATATTTCTTTCTACCTTTTTTTCTGAATTACGGAAAGTTCAGTCAGTATGAATATGACGAGGATACGACAGATTATTGCTCTTCGAAGAACAGTTAGAGCTGGTCCATTATTGCCACCTATTTCGAAGAGGTTGTTTATTTTTTTTTTTTAAATTTTTGTTAAAATATTTAAATTGATTTTATATTTAGATTTTTGATTCATAATCTCTTTCTTTTTTCCACAAAAATAAATGCACTTTCCATTTTCTTTAAATGATTATTACAATGTATTCATCAATTTTGGGGTAATTGAAATAATAGAATTTTTTATTTCAATTTTTAAAGAAATAAAATTTTGAAATAAGAAACACGACATGTTTATCATATACCGATCTATTCGTTTCCAATTCTAATCACACACATATCCTTCAAGCTTTTTTATAAGTTTTCTGAAATTTTTTGTTTTTAACTTCTTCCTAATTATTATTTAAGAATGTCAGTATGAGCTAATCAAATTATTGTTATGGTAAAAAAAAGGCAAAATTTTCTAAAATTTTTTTGGAATACAAAAGCATATCAATCAAAGACTCAATTTCTCAAGGCGAACGATTTCTTCTATTGAAATTCATTTTAGGTAGAAAAGAATTTTTAATACATCAATTTGTTTGTAGAATAGAAACGTTTGCAATTATTAGGATTTCGGCGGCTAAGTTGCTAAATAATTTCGAAATTGAAATACTATCCTAGGCTATCAGGAACAGCTTTAACGGTTAATAAAATTCATATGTTTGAATTAAAGTTTCTGGAATCCTTCGATGTGCAGCATTACAGCCGTGAAAAATCATCCGATGATGGGTTATGCAGCAACAAAGTAACTGCAAGAGATATCCTGGAAATCGATTTACATATTAGGTTTGTTTATCTTAAAATGTCAGAAAAAGAAATACAATAAATATATTTCGATGATCAAACACTAATTATTTATTAATCTTTCAGTAAAAATACATTCGAGAAATAGACTAAATAAAGTCAACAGCATAGGTAGGTATAATTCTTGCATATTACAATGTTGTAAAAATGTTGTAAAAGTTCAAATTTTATAAAACATCAACCACATCCAACCATAAATAACTATTTCATTTCAGTGAATTGAAGACCGATTTATTTGCATTTGATGACATAGTTTGTTTAATATCTGCAAATCGAAATGGTCTGGAAAATTCTTGGGAACTTGTAAGTTCATTATTTAAGTAGGTAAATTAGAAGGCATAAACAAATAAATTATTTAATCATTTGTAAAGAAATGAAAGATTAATCAAAGTTTGTTTACTTCAATTAATCTGTCTGTCTGTCGAATTTTAAGCATGAAAATTTAAAAGAAAGGTTGAACAAAGAATGAAAAATTTATCGAAAGAAATTTATAGGTTGCAACGACGGAATTCATTCCCAAAACAGATTCAATTTCAATTCCTAATGCATTCTCAATAGAGTATACATTTAAACGAGACCAGAATTTAAAGATCGAAATGTTAGCATTTTCTTTTTCCTTTCCGTAAACGTGTCTGTGTATGAATAACTAATAAATTTGCGTATATTTACTTTTCTTCCAAATCCAGCAATCTTCTGACAAAAAGTTCATATGACATTTCTTCATAATTTAAAACTGTCAATTTTAAAAAATTTTCTTGAATAATGATATTACACAATTTTGTATGCTTTTCAACTTTTCTATATACCATATAATTTCATAGTAATGAAAAAGAATATATGTCCACATTTTAAGCTGTGACTACAGCGAAGAAGAAGTAATAGCTATTGGAGCGATCACATTTTTTGTCACAGAAGTTATCACCGCTGCACAAAATCTTACCAAACCATTGATGCAAGTTCTTTCTTACTTTCACAGAATTCTTCAATAATTTTATTTTAAAAAATTTTCGGGAAATTCTTATCTTTAAAACATTCATCAAATTTTCGAAATTAAAAAATTCCGAAAAAGATAATTTAATTATCTCAGTATTGTTCTTATAATTTATGAATTTTAGTACATATAATTATAATTCTTAACAATCTATAAAACAATGTTATAATCATAATCATCCTTTTCAGTGAGATAAAAAGCGGTAAACCTATCGCTTCAATGACAATTTCATATACCACTCAGCCAAAAGAGCAAACAACACTTTTACAATTTTGTGGCAAAAAATTTCCAAGGAAAGGGCTTGAAAATACACAGGTTTGATGATGTATTAAATTTTGCATAATTTAACTATACGGTTTTAAATTTCATTCAGTTTAAATGATTTCAATGTTAACAAATTTATTAATAATTGTTTAACAAATTCTTTAATGGTTTTTATAAATCGGAAAGAAAAATACTTCAACATATTTGTATTCAAAAAAAGGTTAGCCTTAAAATATACAGAATTAGATATTTTCACATTATTAACATTGTTTCATATCCTCAGATCTATTTTAAAATGTTTCGAATGGAAGAAAATGAAATGCGTAATTTATTATACACAAGCGATTATCAATTATATTCATCGAAGATTCTTTGGAAGCCGTTTAAATTACCAAGAAATATCGTTATAGATTCCAAAAACAGGTTAACAATTAATTTTATGTTTTACTTCAATGATTTTAACTGAATGATAATTAAAGCAGAATAATTACTCAAGGTTAATTTATTTTGAATTCCACCACTTGAACTATGCAATGCAATCAGTTAATGTTACATTTCGAATGTATTAATTTAAAACTTTAAAATGTAAACGAATGAATTATTAAAGGAATTTCGAAGTACTCTGTTATTCACGAGATGACCGTGCAAAATGTTCAATCATAGGACAGTTCATCACATCTTCCCATGTGCTTTTCAAAAATGCTGAAGGACGAAAGATTTCTGTAAGCATTTGATATTTTAATTATAATGAACTTTAATGGAACATTTTATAATCTATTAATTTTAAAGTACAATTTTGTATTAAATATGTTAGTTTTATTATGTTAAATGTCATTTGATATAGTTAATCAATCAATAGTTTGGAATATTGAACTTTAGTTGGCAAAACGGATAGTAAAGTCTTTTCAACTTGTTTGAATCTATTGTATCTGTTGTAAATGTTACTCTATCACATCAACCATGTACCTGTTGTAGCTTAGATTTCACAACAAAAAAAAAGCTTTAAATGATATTAAAAGTTTTTACAAATTCAGTTACGAGTTGAATTAGAAAAAAGTGAAAAAACAAGTGGAATAATTGAAGTGGTCAAATGCAACGATATCACTATGTATTCCTTCCTCGATTATATCACCAATGGGTATCATATCATATCATTTTGATTAGATTGAATAGTTGCATGTAAATGACTATACAAATTATTTTAAATAAATATTTCAGCTATTGTTTATCACTTGCTATAGCGGTGGATTTTTCGATGTCAAATTCAAATGACATAAGTCCAACATTTGCAAATGATGTAGAATGTATCATTCGCTCAATTTGTGAGCCATTTCGCCGTCATAATTTGCAAGTTTTTTTTTTTAAATATTTAATGAAATTTAAGCTCATAAAGCTGTTTTTTTTTGGAACTAAATTTTAAAATTCTATATTAAACAATAAGATTACTATTAATGATTGCAAATTTAAATATTATATGTATTATTTTAGCTCGCAAAGCTATGCGGCTTTTGGTTTCGGCGCACGAATTCCACCACATTTTCGAGAGTCGCAGCAATTTTGCCTTGTAAGATCTTTTTTAATATTCACTGTAGCGCCGAACAATTAAAATTATTGCTTTGAAAATACAAATTGAATTACATTTCTTTTAATCTATCAGACTTTGCGATGAAATAATTCGTAGCATATTAAACCCGTATTGCATCCCATTAAATGGCAGTATAGCAGTATAGATGTTTTAATGAGTTAAAATGAACTTTTTTTCTGAATTAGTAGTATCAGATGAACATTTGAATAATTGGTAGCATAATTGATTACTAATCATATTTGCAGAATCTGGAAACAGATCCGAATTGTCAAGGAATTGATGGTCTGATTGATGCATTCTGGAAAGCGAATACTCAAGTGCAAGCTAGTACAACTGCCCATTTTGCTCATATCATTTATCATCTCTCTAAGTAAGCCTGATTATATGAAGTAATCCAATATTTATTTTGATATCTTGAGAAGAGATATGTTTATTGGTATAATTTTCCTTTTCTCCATGTGCCGATATCTTATATATCATTCTGATATACAATAATCAGTTTTAGGTTGGCTAGCAATGTACATAGACGTGAAAATCAGTTAAAATGCCCATATTATGTGTTAGCAATAATCAGCAAAGGAAAGATAAATGATATCCGAGAAACAGTGCAGGTGTAATATGCTTTTGAATACAGAAAGACTGTATCTAAACCTAAATTTAATCACTTCCTTTAACTGGCTGGAAAAAAGTTCGTGCAAAATTGAATTTGCTTTTTGTGTTTGCATAAAATTTCTTTCTGTTTACTTTTTTTAGTTTATTTTAATTGTTGGATTTTAAAACGCTTTCAATGGGCAGTAAATTTAGGCGACGATATTTGCATCCAAAGCTCCACTTTCAATTATATTTATTGCAACAGAAGATGATTGTACAGAAATGGAGCGTCTTGGTCTTTCAGCTGGTCAAATTTCCTATCAAAATCGTCGGGCTGAACGTGATATGTTACAGGTCTATTCTAAAGTTGTAGAACTTCGATAAAATTATGCAATAAATATTCAATTGACAGAGAAGACCAGAAATTATGAATAAACAAACACATCTAAAAATCAAGTTTTTCGCGATTTTTTTATTTTAAAACTTTTGCATTTCCAGTTTGTAGCATTAACAAAGGTTCGTAATAAATTACCGGATGATGGTAATCTTTGGGAATTGTTTGCTGAACAAGCATTACGACGCATTCCACGGCAAATGATCAGCTGGTTGACAAAAAATGGCCATATTCCTCAGGATTTGAAACATTACGGTTCTTTATCGAAACAGGTAGAAGTAAATTCACTCCTAATCGGAATTTCTGATACAGAATTATTGATAATACTGCTCATAATTAAGTCTTTCTATTGCAACTTTCTTCGCGTCATTCGTCGCACCTCACACTGTCACATGAATCTGTCGACACCGTAAAAATGAATTTCATAATTCTTACCTTTTCCTCAAATCTTCCTTTGGCAATGTGATCAGGTTCTTTTGTTCTCTTTTCTTGAAAAAATTCTATGCTTACTGATGACATAAAAATTTTTGCATTTAAAGTTTTTTCGGACTAAAAGTGCATTTTGATGGAATACCCATAATTCTTTAATTAAATAATATGTTAATAATACCTGTTACGTCATTTATTTAGGGCTCGAGTGGAATTTCTGAACTGAAGTTAGAGCATGAGCAGGAGAGGATTAATGCGATGGAATTCTTCAACGATCACTCAACCGAGGATTTGGGCGAAACAGAATACGCAAGTACATCCGATTACTCTAATGTTAAAAAACGTCACAGTTATACAGGTAAACACAATTATATTATCCGTGAATTTTTCAGAGTGTAAGTTTCCAAATTTGTGGTGCAAGAGTTGTAAAGAGTGTCAAAATTTGGACATTATGAGAAGAAGTAATTTTAAAAAATTTTCAGAAACTAAGGATTTTTCCGCCTCCTCACCAACGTCCTCAGCATCACTACGGTGAGAACAGTTTATTCAATAATTAAAAAAAATTTTTTTTTCTCTTTCCCAGACAGTTCTTTGAATTAAAAAACATGTATGCAATTTAGAAATTCACCAAAAATTATCACTTTTTATGGGTCCCATAAAAAAGAATTTTAGGAATATTAAACCACGGCAGACGAGAAAAATTGTTTTTCAATCGTCCACACTAAAATAATATATAAATTAAACACTAAAATGCACTTTTGAAATACTATAAAAATGAAAATTCGAATACTTTTACAGTTAAAAATAAAAGACCTCCTGAAATCCAGTAGTAAAATCATTAGTCCATATAAGCTTGTGGTATTCCGTTCTATGTTTCTGCAATTCTTATTATTCAACTTTTCAGATATCGCGAACCAACAATGTATGAAGAACGGTCACACTCTTCAAAAAATGTCCCCATACTATAGTGATTCATTTCATCGTAGTGATACTTGAACTTTTTTTCTTTTCCTTTTTTTCTGCAGTGCAAAATGCCAACATATATTTAGTTATTCTGAATTTCATTTTATTAAATAATTCGTATTTCAATTATGTTTGGAATAAAATCCAACACATGTATGCCTTTTGGACTAAGCTTTGGGCTAAATTAATTCACTAAAAAAGTGAAATTCGCATTGGTCAAAATTTATCTGTCACATTCGGAATGATTTGAGGGAATCTCGGATAAAAAAAGTTTCAACCAGAATGATTATTTTAAAAGATATATAACTCATCTTACTCCTTTTGAGCAGAAAGAGTAAGATGACTTATATATTTTTAAGTGCTAACCTTAAAACTTTTCAATTTCTGGCGTTACTGGTCAGAACAGATTGATAATCACGACGTCTAATTTTTGTACGTAGTTTACCTGGCTGATTTTACTTCCTGCATCAATCTATATCTAAAAAAATATATATATATATATAAACAGTTTGTCGTTGATATCCTGAACATCATAATAAATTTCTGTGAAAGGAAGCATTTCAGTTTCAAACAAGAATTTGAAAGAGATATAGGAAAATTCTCCAGCAGAAAATAAAGGCCATAATAAGAGTTGAATAATTTATCTATCTACTTAAATCTATACAACCTTCTTTCTATCCTATCTCAAAGTAAAAGAAATTAAATTCTGCATTTTTCATGTTTTCCCGTTGCGACCATCAAAATGGATAAAAAAATAGGGCTTCCAATTAACTTTCAACATCTAATTTTTAAAAGTCGCATTTCTTGAGAACAGTATGAATAATTAATTCATATATTTACAAGGTTTCTTTATTTTCAAAAATGCAATCAAAAATTATTTTCTAGAAAAATAATTTGAGTAAAATAAGAAAACTAGGGTTGTTCTTCAGAAAACACGTTTAATGAACTTTAGTTAGAATTCGTAAATCTAACAGAATTGTTTATTATAATTTGAATGGCACTTATGATCCGTTTAGGCTTGTATACTACGCACAAACACGGCTCCCTACATGAACCAATAGTGCCAGAATAAGTTTAGGAGTGATAAATTAAACTCCAAGCAATACGTACGCACATTATCTATATATAAATATGTTACAAATTCAAATGTACTATTTTCTCGCAAATATCAATTTCGATATTAGAAAATAAATGTGGTGAATTAACAACTCATGTCGATCTATCATATTTCAAAATATGATATGCTTCGAAAATGCTTTCGTAAAAAATTTTCTACCAAATCTAAAGCATCTATAACCGCAACAAATTAAAGACAAATTCAAAACAATCTCAATAGAAGAAATGGTCAGTAAAATTTCCCGCAAAAATTTATCGTCACAATGTGGCAAAATTTTGGCTACCAGAATTTTTCGTGAGGCGGGAACTAAAAATAATTCACTTCATTATCATCACATTTCTCATCAAATGTGAATTCCTGCCATATCGTCAAGTTTCTTCTTACAGAAGAAAGCCAATTAGGATGAATAAATAAGCTGAAAATTGACGAATAATAAAATGGTACCAGTGCAGACTTCCCTTAACCAAATTTTACTACAGCAGGAATACGAAAACGTGTAATTTTATTTCTTTCACATCGTACAATCAATATTATAGAAAGCCATCAACCGCCAGGGAAGTATACATCCCAATAACCTCACAAACTGTGCGGGTGGTCTCGTGCGGCAACATCTCAGTTAAATGCAAAAAGCATCGCGTGTGGTCAATTTTGTTGGTATCATTTGGGGAAGTATACATTGAAAGCGATCGTCTCCTTCACTGTTGATCACCTCATTTCCTATCTGAGGGTTATCATCCCGGATTTACACTTTTGCTCGAAAAAAAAAAAAGGACGATTTCCTATAGAAAGTTAAGAACTTCATCAGTGTAGGAGCTGCAAGGAGAAGAAAGTTCAATCTCTCTCATCGAGAGATCGGATCAATGTGTTGATGAGTTAGTTTCTTCTGATGTTTCTCAGGATTTCCATGCATTTTTCTCTGATAATTGATAGAAAGCATGTTATCTGGTATAAATTTCTCAAAACTTCCTCACTTTGTCCCCTACGAGAACATATTCGAAAATAATATAAGGTCACATATAGTTATAATCAGTACCGCAACAAATCTTTTCTTTCATAACTGCGACGCACGTCCTATCTGATTCAATATATTTATATTACCATTTCACGAAAGACCAAGGACTAATTCACACTGTTCAGTAATTTATCCGCTTTTCAAACATGATTATTCCATCGTTTCAAAAAGTATTCAGCATCACACGCAATGTTTTGTGAAAAAACGAGAATTAACGGGAATGTTCGGCCACAACACTCCAATCCTTACATTCGCAGCTAATTTCTTTTCTTGTTGTTTTTGTTGCTTCGCAGGGATTTTGTCGTGTCCTGTTCAGTTTTGATTCATTTATAAACGACTACTGGTTAACACAACCTACTCAGTTAATATAATCCGTGATGGGAAGGAAATGGCTCTAATGCGAAGCGCATTTTCTCGATCGGGCACTCCCACTAATAATTTCGAAATAGAAAAAACCAGAACCTCCCACTAATCGCGCTATATTATCTTGATAACTTGCAATGCAAAATCAGAGAATCATGAACACGCCGTCGGCATAGTCGAGAGTTCATCCATTGAGCACTCATACTAATTTGTTTTATCGTGAGAAAATATATATGAAATGAGACTGGAGGGACTTTTAATTCCGTTGTAACTCTATACGATTGTTTCGAATATTCAGATCTGCTTACTAACAGGAAATAGTCAACATACGATCGTGATATAATACTGCTTATTTTTGAAACAGAACAAATCCTCCCGTTCCGGAAAAGTAACCCGGAACCCGCCCATAACTCTCGTCTGTAACATTTTCCTTTCCAGAATGTCCAATTTCCACCATCCGCATGAACGTTTTTAAATATGTTATAGCATCTTCCCATAGGACAAGAAACATTTTATCACCGGAAAACTTGAACATTTTTCAACAATGTATTTAAAAATTATTAGTTACAAATAAATTTAACGATCCGAAAACTTTGAAAAAGTTGCATACGTTGCCGATACTTGCTCGTCCCACATGAAAACCGTTAATATGCTACGAAGTTAAAGATTTCTCCTTCAACTTGGCATCTAATCAAATTTCCGGCACTCTATTTCTCTCATAAATAGCTTGAGATTAAAAGGTAAGTGACGTTACTTCAAATGTTGCATGCTGCAAAAGTATTTTTTTTTTTACGACTCACCTGTCAGAAAAAAAAGCTCCGATGCAGATACCACATTCAAAAAGTGAAGCACGACCCTCAAGACTTCTAATTAAAGATTTAATTCATAGCAGAGGACCATTTATTAATAAAAGAGTTGAGATATCTGCAACTCACTTAAATCAAGGCAGCAGAAACAATCCCATTTACTATGTTCGTTCACAGCAGTATCGTATATTGTTTCAGGGGTAGCGACTCCCCCATATGCGTGTATTCTTTCTACTCCTACAAACTGTTCTAAAAATCTGCCTAGATGAAGGCTTCGACCATTCATGGTGCTCCACTTCCAAGAACATGCTAGCAAATATACATTTAAATAATAAAAACGTTATACTTCAATCTCACAAGGTGACTTCTTGCAGAAAACCAACCAGAAAGCATTTGTCATTTCCATAATTTATAACAAGCTAAATCTAGGTTATCTAGACGTTATTTAGATCTCGATGAAATCAAATCAAGCAGGATTGCCTGGATGGGTTTTTGCTTTTATAAATGTCCGGCGAATATTGTCACAGAACAAATGTTGAATCTTGTTCTTGTGAAGATATGCGCCTCACATGCACTTATTGATATACCCAATTGAGCATCATGTTTATCAATGAGTAGTTCGAAATTCGGTATATTTAAATATATGTTACTATTATTTTATCTAAAGAAAAGAGTAAATTAAAAACACGGAAACAGGAGAACTAATAACAGAAAAAAGCTCTCAAATTGAAACCATCAGAAAGTGGGCGCTCACGATGGAGTTTAGCCCAAATTCGTCACAATAACTACGCTGGACGCGTAATACGTTATATTTATCTTACAACGACTACGCAATCCAACGCATTTGTTTCAATTGTTAAGCTATTGACTCATGTTTATCCAGAAACAAGAGTCGCACTTTAACCTCAGCATCCTGTAGCTTTCAGTACTTGCCCATCCTCCTTAAGCAACGTAAGCATCGTGAAGTTCTGAAATGTAAGTTGGGTTTAAATTTCGCTAAGTACGATATCCGTAATGATTCTGAAATTCACCTTAACTATATATAATATGTATGATATAGATATAGAAAGTTAAAGTGATTATTATAACCTACGAACATTGAACGAGGATAAATCAAGTGATTTATGAAACATACTTCGGCAACTGTCGGATGAATACCGATTAATCGATCAAAATCGGCCTTTTTAGCATCAAATTTCAAAGCTATTGCGAAACCTTGTATTATTTCACCCGCATTTGGTGTGAGGATGTGAAGACCAAGAACCAAGTCCTGAAATTTGATAAAATGAAATCATGACAATAAAAACATGAGCTGCACTCTCCTACGCATTGGACTCGATAACAAAGCGTAAATTACTTGTTCATTCTTCAGGCAAATCAGTTTACAGTAACAGTGTGTTTTTTCCTTTCGGTCTGTTACGGCGTATTCAAGCGGAATGAACACATTGTGATATACGTTGATATTTTCTTTTCCATACCTAAAAAATTTGAAATACACAGGAGTTAATAATAACAGATTTGAACAGCAGCAGAGAAAAGGTTTTGCAGCCAGTAATATAAAATGCTTCACAAGAACCTCTACTTCATAGGAATACACAAATTAAAGCCTAGATATGGTGATCTAAAATTTACAACTAGAAACCACAATACTGATTTGCGAAAAACAAAAATTACTTTTGGATAGCAGCATCTTCAGATAACCCACAAGAACCATATTCCAACGGTGTAAATACTGTTGTTGGTACTTTGTTGTATTCGGTAAGCTCACAATTTCCGGTTAAGATGCGCCGCATTAAAACTTTACCTGCTTGTATTGCAACAGGTGTAAGCTCTGGAGAGCCATTCAGCACATCACCAATAGCATAAATATATGGACAACTAACACTCTGCTCTCTTCTTCCAATTATTTTACCAGATTTTGCGCGGTCTACACCGACTAAATCCAAACCAAGATCATCTGTCAGAGCATCACGTCCTATTGCCATCAAGACCTGTTGAAAGAATAACTATAATCTATTCGAATACTATAGAAATGCACCGACTTTGTAACAGAAATCAATAGGTTGAAGAAACAAATAGAAAACATACTGTATTAAAATCTTCCGCAACTTGAACTTCTGTTCCGTCTTCATGCTTCTGGATCGTATGAACTCTAATCAATCCTGGTTCATCATTGGTTGGTTCCTTGAGCTTTTCATATTTGACTGGCACATACCTTAAAAAAAAAGAGAGGTGCCCATTACAATGGATGCTGGGTTTTCTTGAGCTCCACTTTCTCCAAAAGTGATTCCTCTACTACGCATTTCGCTCTTCACTCCTTGCACGAAAAAAAATTTTATTCGAAACGTTCAGCATATCGCATTCAAATATAAAGCGTAAACCTTTTATCCAAGGCAGTCCTCTGTGCATCACAATCCTCAGTGAAAGAGCTAATGAAAATCTAGAAAACAAAAAAAAAACAGAAAACAGTATAGAGTTCCTTGCATCATTTTCTTGTAATACAATAAAAAACTTACGGGATAAATTTGATACCACGCTCTATCATATGTTTCTTAATGCGTTCCGCCATATCCTGATCAAAACCACGCAACAAAATTGATCTGACCATAACCTGAAATTCCTTCAGTATACGAAATAATAAAGCCTGAATCAAACGAAAATCTCAGTGAATAATAATCCTAGGAACAGGAAATTCATAACAGTTAAAGAGAACACAGTGAAAAAGTAACAAAATATTCTCTAAAAAATCTTGAAAGTAACATATCAAATTAAAGCAAAATCTACTGTAAAGGCTACTCCAACGAAACTAACCGTGACATCATTACCAATACCTCGCAAAAAGCCAGCACACTCTAGCGAAACATATGAAGCACCAACGCAAAGAGTTTTGCCAGGATTATAGCTCAGTGAAAACAAATCGTCACTGTAATAAAAACATGAATTCCTAAGTAAGTTAAGCCAAATGTGAAAAGGAATGAATTACGTTTGAGTCGTACACTAACGGCATATGAATATACCTGCTAATGCAGCATTCCAGCACTCCTGGAACATCAGGAAAACGTGGCCTTAATCCGACAGCGATTAAAAATCTGTCAGAAGTGATTTTCTCAACTTTTCCTTTCTTGTTTTTGACACTTAGTTCATGTGAACCGGTAAAAGTGGCGTACGAGTTCATATAAGTCACCTGAAATAAAGACAAAAAAAAAACATTTTTTTTTTTTGATGGACATGCTTGATCACAGGTTTCATTTATTTGAATATATTGCGTTACCCTACTGTAATGACTGCTGTACCTCTTACTACTTATATCAAGAACCGTCACAACGTTCTGAAAAGTAAAGCATGAGGTAACAAAAAGCCAAGTTTGTTGTCTCAAAAGCAATCACATTACTGATGGCATCCACAAGTAGAATATAATAAATACATCAAAAAAGTAATAAGTAACGAACTGATTTTTCTTTCAATTGAACTCGATATCCCCAATTCAACGAAGCAATATGATTTTGCACGGCATTTTTGAGTTGATGCCAGTTTAACTTTATTGTACCTTCGGGTATTTCCCAGCCAAACATCTTAGCATCTTCTACAACTAATTAGTCATTGAAAAGCTGACTATATAGAGAAATTGAAATGTGAAAAACGGTAGCGTATAAACCACTTACCAATATATTCCCCCAAAAGTGCAGCTTGATGCATCAATTTCTTCGGTATACAGCCTACATTAACACAAGTTCCACCCAAGCCCCAAGTTGTGCCCATTGTTGATGGCTTAACGAAATCCAGACAAATCACCTTTTTGCCAAAATGAACTGCTTCCTAAAACCGAAAGTGGATATTCAAATATAAATTTTACAGCAGTTTCAAATAGCAGTTAAAACTAACCTTTGCGGCTGCTAGACCACCGGAACCACCTCCAATAACAGCGAGATCATACTGGTGTTCCTTCAGCCATTCATTTAAAGCACCATTTTCCTCCAGCTGATGAAGTTCTTTGAGGCCACCACAACAGTCTCCCTAAAAAGCAAAAAAGAATGAACTGATCGTCGAATATAAATGCTTTCCTTAAATAATTCCTCTACATGTAGCTTTCTTTCCAATTTCAAAAGTCTGCTTTACCGGACCTAGACAATTTCTGGAAAAACAAAGAAGTAGATTACAAAAGTGCTTGATAGCTAGATCATAAGCTTTTTTTCGAGAGGCCTTTTCAGCCGTATATGATATGTAGTTACAAACCATCAAAATAACACGATAAGTGATAGAGTAGTTCCCATAAACCATGAATAATCCTAGCGCAATGTACATATAACATACCTTAACAAAAATTAATGGCATCGATGGCCATCTAACTATTTCTAATATGTTCTTGACAGCATCGTTACTGACGTGTACTGTACTTACTGTTTCACCATATTTTGAAAACAAATTCACAATCTGAAATAGATCTACAAGAAGTCGAGCGCGAAATGCAAAATAACTTTAAAAATGGAAGTATTCTTCTTTAGATGCGTCAATTTGGAGTGGATAAATTTTCATCTCGATTTCAGTCAGATGAGCTCACCTTTGTTATATCCAAGTTATAATCAGTATAAGCTAACAAAACCCGCTCTTTACAGGCTGATTTGAAAACGGCATCAGCTGCTGCCTTACTGCTGACAAGACTAGAAGTTGGAGACAATAATGCTTCCCTTCCCGGTCTGTTTCCTCTCCGACTTCTTTTATCTGAAATGTACATAGAAAAGATATTTGTAAAGTATTTTACCGCTCAGAAAGAAAGTTTTTCTGTAATACCTGCTCCGTGATGTGAGATTATTTTAAATATAAAAAAAAATACGAGAAACTCCGATTACTTCCATGTAAGAGGAGAAAGTTATGGAGCACTTAGAACTCATTTTGTTACCTATATCCTCTTTCTCACCTGCAAAGAAATCTCCTGAAACTTTAGAAACTCGGTACATGTTCTTTAAAGACATCCATAAGTTTCTCTAAAGCGAGATTCCTGAAGCAATGTGTCAGAGAATCCTGAAACGGAAAGGCACAAAACTCAAGATGGTCTCTCTTGGCGGTAATCTATCAATTTTGGCAATTAGAACATTAAAACAGGAAATAAAAGCATGTAGAACCACCTATCATATAATCTTAAAAATACAGTAAAATCTTAGAACATGTGATTTATGGTCAAAATGACCTGCGGCATTCGTACGTAGAAGATATGCTTGAATATTGCGGAAGATGCCCAGAAACAGTAAGCCAACAGATAGCATATTCCGTATATATTAGGACACACACAACGGTGTATCTCTTCACTCCACAATTACAGCTAGAAGTGATTTATTTAATGTTAACAATTACTGACGGCAACATCGCGCCTCACACTAGCGCAAAATGCTAAGTCGAAAACTCAAAACATACGTAGTAAAACGGAAATTGAAAGTTCAGTCGCTATGTACTAAATCCAACAATTTATGATTACAAAAAAACTTTCCCATGAATGTATGAAAATTATTATATTACATGTTTACAGTTTCGTACATTAATCAGGCCCTTCACATCAAATTATATTCTCCAAGTATTTAATTTCTAATAAGAAATAAGCTTTCTCCGCATCTTCCGGTTGTTCGAACTCTACGTATCCATATCCTCTGCCAAGATGTGTATGTTGTCTTCGAAAATATAATTTACTTCTTATTATAATTTAGAAGTCGTTGCTGTTTATCAACATCCATATCCATGCAGGTAAACATGACAGTTGTCAATAAAGAAGCTCAACTTCAACGACTGATTAGAAGTTATCAGAAGGCGGACCAACTGGCAATTGACATGACAAGTGATTCTGCGAAATTCAGCTTATATTTCCTCGACTGCAAATAGTATTGATATTCTAGTAGAATATTCTGACCCGAAGGATAATCAGCATGGTATTCAGTAAATCATTATCCCTAGTGAAAACTGAAGAGGGTGAAGAATAATGACGATCATCAGGAAATCACATATAGTACCACGGAGCGATGATATTCCTTACGAATGAATTTCAGTCGTGTATTAACAGCACTTGCAAAAGAGAACATTGAACTTCCTTCATCGTTATAATTTTTTGCAATATATTTTAATCACAATGAGATAAAGCTTGTTTAACAAATTACAGACATAAGGACGGGGCTAACAACTATGACCCGTACCCATATCTTCATCGCTATTTCAAAAACTAGTTTTCAGGACAGTAAAAAATGAAGTTTGGAGTCATGCCCATTATTCTAGAATGTTGTGGAAATCTGTACCAGAAACGTTCAAGAACTAATCTCATCCACCACACTTGTTTTTGTTCTAAAAACTCCCCCAAACTGCGGTGGTACTATAACCGCCTATTGCAGCACACTACTTCGTCAGTGAAAAGTCCACTCCGAACTTCGAACAAACTGCTCGTTTTCATGCGAAAGAAATTAGTAGTTCTTTGAATAACAGTGTTACACCGAAAAATATCAATCCTTTCTACCTCCATACAACTATAGCTTGTGTAAAAGTGAAAGATCGACATTTTTTGAATTTTTTATTGAGTCAAAATTTCACTGAAATCTGTCAAAAAATTTTGATTGCGAAATATCTGCAAAAACTCACCCAGGTGCATGAATGTACCAGTGAACAGCGAACGAGAAGTCAACTAACAAGTTGCACTTTTTTTCTATGCTCCCCAATTTTTCAATGAAAAACTCTATTCCTTTCAATTCTCATTTGAAATTAATCAATACGAGTTTAAAACATCTAATTCTGAGCATTTCAGAGTTCTCTTTGCCTTTATTACTTACAAATTTGAAAGGAAATCACCAAAGTATTTCTCAAAAAAAAATCCCCTTCTCCCTCGTCATAGATGACTGATACATGAAATAAAATTCCTACAACTTTAACTTAACCAACCAACAACATTCACCAAAGCAACAGAATAGTACATTTCTTCTCTCCCTTCCACAACAAAAAAATCAAAAAAATTTTCGAATAAAAAACTTTTTTTCGCGAAATTGCTATCAACCATTATAGTGTTCAAACTACTGGAACGCCTAAACATATACATGTTTACCTTTTCCAAAACTACTTTTGAAATTTTCTTCCTTTGTCCTTTTTTGCGAATTTTCACTCAAAAGTGCAATCTTTCATTATAGCAACGATTCACAGAAGTCAAGAAAGATTACTTTACTTGTATACGAACTATTATTAAAAACAATCGTAATAACCTAACACTATATAGATGAATGATTTGATTTTAAATTGATAATTGATGACTTGCAGTTACCGGAAATGTGTGCTCCTGAATTTTGCAGAGGAGAGACATCGCTGTGACCAGCACTCCGACAACATGTTATTTGGTTGCACCAACGTACAAATGCCTCCATCTTGTTTCTCGAAACCTGCTTTAACATACTGCAGTACCATTATTAACAACATTTTTTCACTGTTTATACGGCACGTGAATATACGCTGCGCGACGTCATATAGCTTGCATGATCTTCGTCAAATCAAATATTTTAACAAAATGTTGCAGTAAGTTAAAAAAAATAACGCTTGATAACATTTCTCACTGAATACAGCACCTAAATAATCCGAATTTAATCTTTAAAGCCTCTTTTTTACAAAAATCCGTGCAAGCATAAAATTCACCGATCTAGTATAATTCATCCGATCTGTTACCACTTGTTTCTTTCTTTGTTCTTTTTTGCGAATAGATAATAGATAAAATCAATTAGAAAAAAATGTTATTATATTAGCAGAACTTGTAGCATTATTAAGTGAATGTTGGCATATCGTTTTGGATGTGAAAGAACTTTGCAATTTTTCTTATTGATTTTATTTATTCAATCTTTAAATAAGTATAAATGTATCTGAAATAAGAAAATTCAGATTGGTTTAGCTAGCCGTCATTGAACTAATGAAGTTGAAGGGACTTCTCAGAATTACAGTTACAAATAACAGAAATGCCACATTATATTGTGACTGGTGAAATTTTCTAATATTCCCTTCTTCTAATTCAAGCAGTTCTATAGAAGAGACTTATTTTCCAATTGCAACAATATATTAATTATAAATTGACAATTGTTTGTGAGAGGATAACTTAATTTCTAATTCAATTAATTGCAATTACCTTATGTACCTTGTTCGATTTACTAATTTACGGAGAAAAACGAAGTCAATCAATGTAGCATTTTGAATCAATCATAACGAATCAATCCCTAAATATTACCCACCAGTTAACAGCAACATAAATCAATTTCTGAAAACTTGATATGATATGTACCAAAATTAACTTCGTGATTGTGATCCTCATGGTTTCTGTTTTGACACCCCTTAGACCATCCAAGAAAGTCACCAACTTTTCAAGAAACGCTGAAAATTAAGATTCCACTCATAATCTAGAAAGAGTGGACGAATGGAGAATGGGAGAGATATCTAATTATCTAGACAGTATAAATTAAAAGCAATATGAAATATCTCGAAAAAAAACTGTGTATGCTATTAAAGTTCTTTCTTAACGTTAAAAAAAAGGAAAAAAACAACTAATTTACTCATTCCCAACAAGTAGAAATACCAGTCACGATTTAACTCTGCACCAATCACGAAGTTTTCAGTATATCTCTTCTTTTTTCAGTATATTTCTTCTTCTCTCCAGAGAAGGATAAGATCAAGGAAGAGATATACTGAATATCCTAATTACTTATTCAGTTCTAGCAATGAAAAAAAAGCGAAATTCATTCATCAAAAGACTTTCATTAATTGCACGCTTAAATGGCACTTGAGGACAAAATAGTTCAATAAAAAAATTAATCTCCCATTAACGTTTTAGAAATTTTTGGCAAATAAAAGGTCTCTTGGAATCATAGACATGAAATGAAATGACATATTCATTGATGACATGTGCCACTAATATTTAAAAAACAACTCTCGAAATGATTGTGTAATATGTATGTGGCGTTTTATTTGTTACAAAATGTTTGCCTATTAGTGTTCAAAATCATTCAAAAACTGTAAAAATATAAGAAGTTATAATAAGAAATGCCAAAACAGAAACAAATGTGCATGAATGGCAGAATTATCAAATTGTTTTCTGTCGAAATTGGAAATTGGCAAAGTTGGTTAACAAATTATTGGATTTAATCTACTCCCTGGTTTAATATTTCTGGACAACTCGCAATTGAAAAATATTATCACCTTAATTATATTTATAATCCAAAGATATCAAAAAAAAACGATCATGCCTCGGAAGCTGTTATCAACAGCATATGTCATACTGGAAAGATAAAAGAAAAAAACACTATCTCAATCAGAAGTTGCCAGAAACCATACTCAGTTTAAATTAAAACTTACTTAATGGTTGTTCCGAAAACATCCGAGAAGTGGAAACGATCAAGAATGATTTTTGATTCTTTCGACTTCCTGTAACTTTCCTAGTATTTTTATATCAACTCCAACTCAGGTCGTGTGCCAAAGCGAAATAGTATATTAGTATCTTTGAATACAGTACATCAGTACCCCGAAATAGAACATAAATATCCCATAAGCACCTAATTATCCCTCATCTTCAAAAGTTTAAATGATCTCCCAATACCACATTCTTTCTGTTGTCTGCTAAATAGTTTACACATCGCTATAGATCAATAATTTTCGCACTGTCCTGTAGACACACTATACTTGTTAGGAATCTGAAGTTTGAAATTATACCCCTTTTATTAAGAAATAATGGCTAACAATAATTAAACAACAGTAAAATATAACAATGGCACTATTAACTGTCTAATTATACTATCATTAAATCAAAGCAGACTTCAACGAAAACTCAAATGATTAAATATATTTTGTAATTTTAGAAGTGCTATGCCCCGAAGAGTTAAAAGTGTGGAAGAAGGGTAATTTTCATAAAATTATATTCATGTTCAAAACGAAAATTTGTTTAAAAGCATAGAAATTTTCGAAAAACGATGCAACGAGTTCTAGCATTTCAAAACAAAATCGGCGCATTTCATGACAAAATTTATAGAACCGAAGCAATACAGACTATATAATAAGTGGACGGATCAATACCCAACTAAGAGGCATTCAGAGATATTAAATTGACTTTGAGAGAATGTAACTACCATTGAATGAGATCGTTACTTGCTGAAATTTGTAAAAAAAATCCACTAAACTCGCAAGGAATTACTCATTTTTCATATTCACTCATTTTATTTCTAATGCATCATTTCACTACTGCCGCTTTTCAATTTTGTCATAACAAAATATCATTAACAAACTTCTTACATAGTTTTCAATCAGCACGGGACCGTTTTTCAAAGGCCCTGCTATAAATTATAAAAATTCAATCTGGACACAGAATGGCGAACGTGGTGTTGGAGATTACAATGGCAAATGTGGTATTGAGAGATCATTTAAACTTTTGAAGATGCGGCATTCAAGGATGACTATGTAAAAATAACTAAGATTGAAGAGCGATGGGAAATATTTCAGGATCTTGAAAAAGCCAAGGAACACATTAAATAAAAACACATAAAGGACTGTCGAAACTAAGCAATCATACAATCAACTGATTAAATAAAATGCTTTGACAATCCACATTATAAACCACTTCCAATTTCCTTAAGCAGCCAAAAAATACCGATCAATCCACTGAATAAACGATAATCTTTCAACACTAAGCTTATCTGATTCAGGAAAATAAAGGGCTGCAAATCTGATATTATCGCAAACAATCTTGGGATGCACATATTAATGAGGTAGAAGACGCATTCTCTTCCACGAAAGTTTTTATGTCGCAAAACAATTCAAAAAAAAATATATATAATGCTTTATTTATATGCCCAATAAATTAACGGAGATCATATTGTTGCATAAACAATACATTAAGCGACAAATAAATCACTTGTTAGCTGTTCATCTTCGTAGACATTTTTCAACCGCAGCACGAAGAGCACATACAATGAAAAACTGTAATCATATTCTATATCTACAGTTATCATGGATAACAAATAATGACTCATCGGACCAAACTACGCAGTTTCTTCTACCATATATTTTATCTTAGTTATAAAATTTCTGGAACCCGCCCTTTTTCCTTTCCATCTTCTTCCTAATTTCAAACTTTTTCCAAGGGTGACGCATCCAAATGATATGAGCATCAATAATTCGACGCTTTAAGGGAAACAAATCACTAAAAAAAGTTGATAATTACCCGCTATTCATTATTATCTCAGGAAAAGATTAAAAGTACTTAGAAAAAAATGCAACGACAAACAAATGATAAAAAAGAGTTTGCAGTATAAAATAAATCTTCTATTTAAAGTTATAAGCTTTGTTGACATTGTAATCTTTTCTTTTTCAAAAAAGGATAAATCACAGGTTGATAACCTAAGTCCATAAATTAATGTCCCGGTGGAGTGGGATGGAAAGAACAGTGATTTATAAATAGGGGGAAAAAGGATATATCAGTGTTAAAACTGTGCAGTGCAGGAAAAAAATTGAAGAGGGCATTGCAAAGAATTGTGAGCAGCACTTTCGGAAAGAGAGATGTTTGCATTCTCAAGCAAAAAACATTCTTGGACAGTTTTTGGCTGCACTGCATATGATAGAGCATGGACTAAAAAACAATACGGAATTAAGTACCTAAATAAACAGTAATCTTAATTCAGATAGGACACAATTTTACTTTACTGATGAGACAAAAAATGAGTGAACAAATGAAAAAAAGAAAGAAATGTGAAAAATAAAAGGCACAATGAGATCAGCACCGAAAAACTACGGTTAGCTGCTACTACTATTACTACAAAAAGTAAGGTACCGGTCAGTATACTGAGACATGGATTACATAGCAGAGATTTCATCTTATTCTTCGGCCAGTGAACGAATCAATGAACCCCACACTTTTCGCTGCTTCTTAACATCGTCTGCGTTCAGTTGTGTGAAATCAACGCTGAATTCATCCCGTTTCAAACTCTATAAATTGGCGCAGTTGTAAATTATTAATTCTCAAACAAAGTGAACAATCACTAACAGATAGGGCAAAATATTGCTCAGCAGTATGCTAAACTTGAACTTAATTCAGTCTTAAATTCATTTCAGGATGATTCGGTCCTGGAAGAAGTACCCACATATTATAAATTCTAGTTCATATTATGAGGTGCAGTTCGACAGCTCCACCACCACTGATTTTTCGTGATATATCAGGCAATATTTAACTGCTTTTCTAATGAAGTGATCCAACTATTTTTTTAAGCGAATACAAAGTTTTCAAATATTTGGTAATACCACTGTCTGACCAATAAAATCTTACAAATTCTCAACAAACCTCGATATAGTGTCGAGTGAATTCAATAACAAACATCCCACAGTCCATACCATTATACTGCTTTGTGGCTCGTTCGATGCGTGTATCTACTGGAAGCCCGAAATACTTTGCTAGTGTTTGAATCAGCTGAAGAACGAAAAAAAAGAATCAAAGGAACTCCAAATACTAACATAATACAATCACATAACATTTCAAAGCAAATATTTCAAACTGAAGCTTGCAAGAAACCTAACCAATATTAAAAAAAGTTTTCACTCCTTTTTTTTCTATACACAAAAAAACTTAAAACTACTGCATTTGGTAACAATTTCTAGTATTGATTCCAATAGGGTATTGCAGGTAGGATTTAATATGATCTCTTTGCTCTTCAACTGATTCTGCAACCCTTTTTCGAATAGGGCATATTTAACTCTTATTACAGCTACGCCAAAATGAAACCCTCCACAATAGAGCAACATGTTATGCAAGTATAATGCTGTTATAATCCTTTATTGTTCGCACTTCGCATAATTTCTTGCCATTTCCCCCTCAATGACTTAGGATCGTGCCAACATATAATTTCATATTTTCAGAAGCTTCCTTCCTCAGTTCCAAGAGACACATACCTTATCCGTCTGCTTTTGATTCGCTGAATTCGTCCCCTGCGCGCTATCAATAATCAGAAAGTGAGGTCGAAGATACCGGCGACATATAAGCAATGACCAGTGACTTCCACCGCTCCTTGACGGATCGTCATGATCATTCACAACGAAAATGATATGCTCTTTTTCTTTAAGTGTTAGCTCATCGAGAAGCTCGGCCACTTCACTTGGTCTGGTTAATTTAATTAGCTGACATACTGCTGCATTTACAAAGGTAATCTGAAATTAACACTGACTTCCTCTTTTGACCTCGGTCCTTTCAGTAATGCATAGTCCCACCATGTAGGCATAGGTAACGCTACGATTGACTATCAATTAAAAGCGAATCGTTTGTGTCTTGAAAACCTTCCCTATCAGTTTCAATTTCAACGAGTTGAAGTTATAGCTTTCCTCTTTTTTCTGACAAATATGAATGACATAAATGCAAACAAACTTTGCTTTTTTTTGTCTCATCCAACGTTCTTTTGTGGAGATATTCGAATGCGAACGAAATAACGGGATCACTGAGCCATCGTCCATTTTCCAGCGCTTTCAGATCAGCCTCATACAGTACCGTATCACCAAACGACAGGACACACCTTCCTGCTTTTGCCATACTGCAAGATTTGAAACAATTTATTTCAAGAGACTAATATGTGTTTCCAAATTCAACAATATTTTAGAATCTCCCTTCACAACACCTACAAACGATATTCTTTCTAAAATTCCTTGAAAAAATGTGGCACTGAATACAACAGTATGGAACAGTCAAATGTTCCATAACTATATAATTTCGTATGCAAGCCTAATAAAATTAAAATAAGCATAAGAATGAAATAACGGCCTGGTACAGTAATGAGGATAGTCTGGATAATCATTAAAACAACCGAAGTTTCGGAAATCAAACATGTCGGTAATTACAGTTAGAAATTTAGGTAACATAATTCTGGATTAAATTACAGGAAAAGCTACAATTCAAGTGGTACTACATCATTTCACTTCCTACAACTTCATTTCATGTAAACAGAAATTTTCGAGATGCTCATCTTCCTACCTCATCTCCAATATCAATATCTTGAAAGATAATATGTTGATATCCACATTGATCAGGATTGAATAAGCAAATAGAAATAATTTATTCATAAGGTATTCAGGAAAATAAAATATATTAAATTTATTTACAGGTATACACCGACATATTACATGGGATATTGAAATAATTTACCATTTCAGTGCACTGAATATATCAATCATAATAATAATAATAATAAACATCGATTTCATATATTACCACCACTTTATTTAACAATCATCAGGACCACCAAACTATGCAGTAATTCAATGAAATCCGTTTTCCCAACAGTGGTCAAACTTTGCATCAGCAATAATATTGCATTAAATTCAAGAAACGGCTTGAAATGCTAAGTGTCACATTCTCCTACTAGTGTTCAGTAGTTCAGGATTCTGGCTTTATCATGATTGATTGACAGTTGGCCTAAAGATTTTTGAAATATCTGTTCCACTGGGTATTAACAGTGCCTGATACAATCAATCCCTCACCCGATAAGTTCTCAACAGGGATCTATTTAAATCCATTTTCTTCATGCTTCTTCAATAAGAAATAAAAGATGGCATCATTCCCTTTAGCAGTAATAGACTAAATCCAATGTGACAAAAGATGATTTTCCTAACAATTGATAAGATTTTCAAAAATGCAAGCATATATGACATATATATATTTTTTTCTAATTAACGTTACGCTTAATGTCCAGCAAATATTTTCATCGCATAACTTCTGATTTTAAAAAGGTCTACAAAGCAAACAGAAGCAAAAACTACAAAACACAACCAAAAATACTAAAAAATCCAAATTTGATATTGATGTGAGCTAATCCCGCATGCGAAATATGGCCGTTCAGTAGCGCTGTGAAGAAATAATGTTGGCTTAAATAACTTACGGCCAAGTTTTGTGCAATACGTCTGGGTTCCTGTATGTTTTATCTACTATCCATACACGGTCGTCATCATCATACTTTGTCAAGGGTAAATCATATGGCAACATATCCAAGGATTCAGGATCAGTGAACAACAAGCCAAATTCATACGATCGAATAGTTAATTGTGTTTTTTTCAATTGGTAATCACCCCAAGCCGCCTGAAAAAATTACACTTCGTGCAATAATCTAAGAAAAGACAGACAATGATAACTGCGGAAATGTTTCGCTCAGTGTGCCCTTCATGTGGCTTTTTCTGTTAAATGTTAGTAAAACAGCGTTTTTCTGTTATTGAAGATGAAAATAAGGGAGTAACCGAAATAATTGAACGGTACCTTAGAAAGGTTGGCACTTGTAACAAGCAACCAAGATGGTTTTAGAGAGTTCTTAGCAAAAGCCGCATATGTCTTGATGTGTGGCATAGCATGAGAACGCCCTAGACGATCACTGCGCCACTTGTGCATGAAATTAAGCAAATATGGCTGTTTTGTTGCTACACTATTACTGTAAGGAAGTGAGCCACCTGCTTCGTATCCTTCATTAGAAGTACGAACGTCTTCCACGCACGGATAGATAATTCGCAAGTGTTCGCCATCTGCAAAATCAGGAAACTTAATGAAAAGAAAACAAGTTTTATTTTTAAAAACTAGGAAACTCCCTACTACAAAATGAAATTAGTTTTAAACAGACCTGTTTCTGCTCCACCAGAAAGACTGTTTAAAAACTGTCCCGTAAGCCAATTTTGCGGTGCTGCTCCAAGACTACCAAATGAGCTGAATTGAGCATGATAAGTGAAATCGTCTATCTTAACATTTCTGAACAATTCCTTCAGTACTACACGCAATCTTGGGTGACCATATTTCGTCAATTGAACGCCTGAAATTCATTCTTTATAAAACAGTACTTTCGAATCAACATAAAAACATCAAAATCACCAGAAAGATTGATCTAGATAACCAATGTCGCAGTCAATCAGGGGATGTTACTTGTTATCATATCTTTTTAAAACTACAAGTAACAATAACTACCTTCCTTAAACTGTTTGAATCTTGCACACGGAGATAATATTTTACAATAATCTGTAAGTTGTCGAAATCTGCATCTTATTTTGATCTTTTTTATTGATCAGAACAAACATTTAACGATGTGTGGATATATGCAAAACATGATGCACAAAATGAAATGAAATGAAAAAGATGACCTTTATGAGTTCCTGGTACAGAGTAAATAACTCGTGCATTGACATGAGATAAGTCAATGTTAGCAACGCGATCTCTCCAGTGTTCGATAAGACCCCAATCCTGACTTGTTTTATATTCGTTCAAGTATTTTACTAAATCAGTCTGGAAATTTGATCCATTTCGGTTACAATTGTCACTGGCAGTCAGCTGAAAACATTCATAACATGAAAGCATTTTCATAATCTTCAGACTGTAAATCTCTCACTCATATCTCCAGATGGTAAAAAAAATCTTACACCAGACACAGTAATGTGTATTGCTTCTGGAATTTACTGTCCGGCCATCAAACCGTTTCTTTCTACTCACTCTCTAGAAAGAAGATCGGACATGATAGTAGTGAGACCACGTAAAAAAGTATACATAAAATATGCATTATACTAACTTCACTTCCACTACAGTGATAGAATGCTTGAGTTTTGAAGTTCCAGTCGCTTTCCAACAAGTTAGCAGTTGCAATGATAATATGCACTCTCCCATTACTGCTTTCAAAAATGGAAATTTTGGAATGATGAGTCCCGAACGGTATCATTAGACGTGCTCGTCCAACACTGACGTTAGTTGCTCCACAATGCTTTACTGCAGTTTTGGTCAACGTAAAATCAGTCCCCATTCTTTCACCCACAATTAATGTGATTGGCCCTTGTCGTAATCGGCCCGGATACTGCCTGCAAATGATATGACATTTACAAAGAACAAATAGAGGTTAACAAATTTTAAAGTTAATGCAAACCACAAAATGGTCAAAGCATATTTCACATTTCCTCGTAATAACAAGCAATCCGTAAAGTCAACACACTGGCAACAGTGTATATGTCATGGAGGTTTTTGTCATCTCGAAAAAGAATTAAAAGGTTATATATAAATAAGAAATATGCTTTAAATTCTTTTCGAAATGGAAATCTTGGAATCTACAACTTTATTAACCAAGTATGAGAAGACTAAAGAATAAGGAATATAAAAAATTGGATGACATATCTAAAACAATGAAAGGGGCCAAAACTGTTTAGTGTGCAATACCCGACAAATTTGGCATTAATATTCGTATTAGTAAAAATAGGGCTAGCAAAACTAGTATTGTCTATGCAGCTGTTTTTTAATTTATACAAGTAAACATAATAGTAGTAATAACTACTACAAACTTTTATTTTATGGATTAATATCCAAAAGGTAATAGCATAAAAATTCAAAACTCACTCATATATGAAAAAGACAAATGTATTACAAAATATCTACTTGATACTCCCTTTGAGAATGGAAGACGATACATGTCCTAAGCACTACTAATATTATAGTACTTACGTAAGTAGCCAACGGAGATCAACCATGAAATTGAAATGGATTGATGCCACGGGTGAGATAAGTTCCAACAATTCCGCAAGCGAAAAAGCATTGGCATTGTACTGCTCAGCGAGACCTACAACCTAAAAACAAATCGTGACAACGGCTCAAATCGTGACCATGGACGAAAGAGGAAATGTTCACTGGTTTACGCCTTCCCATTACCTCCTCCCTCTCGCTTCCCTCACCTTTTCTCCTCCCTCCTTCTTCAATCTTCAACTGCGAATAACATTTTTTTTTCTAAAAAAAACTCCTTGCTGGCAACACATTTCAAAGAAGTTAGAAATTGAGAACAGACACAGAGAAAATACTAAGCCACCTAAACAATTCTGATATAATCATGTTAGAACTTAAACTAACTTTATTGAAATATAGTCTATCTGTCAAATTATTTTGTCTCATACGTTTCCCTTCTGATCCACGATCACCAGATTCTTCACCCGCACATGCCGACGTCTCATCCACTCCCCGTTTCATCTCTAAAATACCATCACAGCTCAACTTCTATACAAAAAAAGAAAATCAAACATCAACCCACCCAATCTCATCCTTTTCCCGCCTGATGTAATCCGACCCACCCGATCCCACACCAATCAACCGCGCCAAAAGGGATGACAGTTGTAAGTTCAAAGTGTGGCAACACAAGATTTAACGCGGCTTTATAGATTAACTGTTTGTTTACAACCTTAAGTGGGCTGTTGTTCAACCGTGAGGGACTCGTGTCACTTCAGATGATTGGCACTGATTTACACTCGTTACCAGCGATAATTTGTAGTTGTATATGAATGATTATGTTCAAACTTAAGATTGAAATAGTTGAAATTTTAAATTATCTCAAAATTGCAATCATACATTCCAGAAATTTAAAATTGAATTTGAAGTCTGGTTTAGATCGACTTATTAACACAAATGTGGTCAATCGAGCGTAATATTTAGTAACTATTAGTTTATAATAAGGACCATTCAAACTTATTGCGTTACAATTGCTTGATGGTTTTGTGGATTAGAATCTGCTATCTCCATTTGGCTTGAATTAAGGAAAAACTTCAGCTGCACCACTTATCCTTCCTAACTTAACTTTTCTTGACAGATTGTCATATTTTCCTGTTTCATAACTAGCAAAATATAAAGCAGATCGCTAAAAGAGAACTTTCATAAGTACTAATCTTTAATTTAATCATGACCCAGTGAACCCAGATTTTTATTTTCTAAAATAAAAGATTTTTCATGCTGAAAGCAAGAAATGAGATTTTTCAGACAAATTATAACATTAACAAAATACGAAATCAATGATAACATTTGAAACCTAACGATTTCTAGTTTTCAAATTGCTAAGAAAGGATTTTTGGAAAGGTCCGATTGAGTCTTTAGTTAATCATGCCCCTAATAAACTCAAATTATTTTCTACGTGTTAACAGCAACGATTTCTGTTTTCCAAATTGCTAAGAAGGAACTTTCAGAAAGATACGATGAACATCGAAATCCACGATAAATTTGTACTACTCTTTCGTTCAAAAATAACAGTTCATTCAAATGCAATATTTAAGTAAAAAGCACCAAAAGAAAGCAGCAACCGCACAAAGAAGAAAATGGAATGACAATATTGAGATGATTGAATGGGAATACATTCAAATACTATGCACATAATTGTATAATTAATTGTATAATTTGAATCTTCCAGCGATAAAAATGCAAATTTTTGTGAATAATTCGAAACTTCTTTGCCATATTGATTGACATATGATTTTCACATATGTAATTGGAGTGGCAGGATGAATATAACTGAGAGAGTTTGACATCCTCTTAGAGTTCGATACCTTCGTCTTCGTCTATTACCGTCGGTCTACGCTAAAAGTAAGAAATGAGATTTTTCAGATAAATTATGGCATTAACAAAATACGAAATCAATGATAATAATGGAAACCTACGCGACAATTCCTAAAACAACGAAATAAATGATGCCAAAATGCTTGAATCCGTTGTATATATGTTATTCTCTCCTCTTCCGGCACTAACTCATCGCTTTCTGTCATATCGACATCCAATAGGCTCGGATCTTGTGTCGAAAATGGTTCTGGGACAAAAAGATTATGCGAGTCCGGATAGATCTGTTGTAAGAATAACATCAGAATTTGATATGCAATTGCTTATTTACATTGATCTCAACTGTGATTTTATTCAAGAATTTTGAAATTTCACGAATTGCTCTAATGATATCTACTGAAAATAAAAGATGTATTAGTTTAGCAAATAGATCAAAAAAAGAAAAACATTTTAACGAAGTACAGAGATGATAAGGAAAAGAAATTACGCAATAAAAAGTCACGATAATGTTTTTGGGAAACATTAAAATTTAAAATATTGAGTTGATTTCATTAAGTCTTGGGATTAAAAACCGACTGTTTTCATAAACTGTTGATGCTCATCATCCTCATCATTGATATATACCCGAAAAGTGCCACCCCTAGTGGGATGGCCACCTTTTAAAAATCGCAAATCGTAAAAAGAAGGAAACAATTCAGCGCTTCGTCGAATTCGTCTTTCCTCGTGAGATGGGTTCATTGGATTAGATTGATGTAAGTTATCGTTCAGTAAAAAAATCTCATCCGCTCGTGCCCAATCGTATGCAAACTTCTTTACCCAAATATCCATGTTGCGGTGCGTATAAAAACGAGCTCTTAAAGAACAATTAAGTTTTACGTATCAACAATTTTCTAAAACATTAATATCGATTAAATAGAATTGTCATAAAAAATTAATTTAAAATTTCAAAGATAAGAGTTGAAACAAAAAAATTGCGGATATTTAAATCTTCTATTAATTAATTAAAATTTTTGAAAATTCTTCTTGAAATATTTGCTGATTTTATGCGAATAAAATCTTGAGTGTTTTAAATCATAAACTTTACCAATCAGCATGAGCAGGATGAATTTAATAAAAGATGGATTTAAAATTTGAAAAATATCCAACAAATGTTTTTTAATGAAGTCATAGGAACCTCAAATCGGAATGACTACGTGGAATTTCCATGCACCAATTGCAAAGTTCAGATCTTGATCTCTGCGTAAAATTTGTTTCAAAGCTCGTTTCTAATTTACTCATAATTCTACGACATGTTATCACTATTGTATCCATATGATCCTCAGGCAGATTTACTTCTTCAACAGCGTGACACTTATAACTACAAACGAGATGTATAGTTGAACCTAAATTTGGAACATTAATTAATTTTATAATAAATAGAAACTGTTTTATAGTGGACAGAAATTTTTGAAAAAGAAAACATGGATAACTCACAAGAACTAACATGTGGATCTGGTGAGGTGATAACAGTGTAACATGTATCATCATTGAAATTTCGAATCACACCAACTCGATATATGTCAGACTTATGACTAAAATTTTCCTCGCCAATTCTTATTAATGTCTTCAGTTTTAGTGCATTCAACACTGACTGAAGACCTTTCTTGCTAAACATATAGCTCACGCCTGATCTTGATGGTTCAAATGCTCTGAAATGATTACAGTTTCTTTGCTTTCATAAAATTTTAGTTAAATCACAATTTCCAATCGCATCTGAGCTTTGATATTTTGTCAGATATAAATTAAATACTACTTTTCTATTGCATTATTTGGTTGAGCATGAAGGATATCTGCCACCAAACATGCTTCCAAAAATTTTATTTTGTTCGCATAGATGGGTCGAGGGATGTTACGTATATTATCAAGACAGGTCATCCATTGACTTACACCACCACTGCAGCATAGATAGCGTTCTAAAATATTTCTAATTTATAAAAGTGAATGATAAAACTATTCATAATAATATCTCTTGAAAGAAAATTTGTCAATTAATAACAAAAAGTTTTCTTCAAGAATTCATCAACACTTTAATTTAATCTATATATATATATATATAGATAGATAGATAGATAGATATAGATATAGATATAGATACAGATAGATATATTTTAAATCCACTGTACTTGAAAGAGCTGCTGCAATGGGCATCACGTCGAACATCTGATTGAACATAAAATACATGTTTGGCTCTGAAGGGAATTGGGACTGACACTGAATTAATATAAATTAATAATCTAAAATTCCAATTATTAATTCTAGAATACAATGGCAAATGCACTGCATTACCCGATACTGAAATTCAACATGTTTTAGCCATCAGGTTTTTCTGAAACATGGAAGATTAATTCCGAAGTTGAAAAGCTGATCTGTATTCGTAAAACACTTCCGTATATGCAAAAAATATTAACGATCAACTACTTCCGGCATTTTTTTTTGAAAAGATGGTATTTTTACCACTTCAGCAAAATGTTGTTGATGGCTTGTTGATGGCATATCATTAGTGTCTATCGCTTCCATTGTTTCATGATTACTGCGCAAAAGAATCACATCTTCTGGCCATCGAAGCTTCATCAGTATAAGTAGTATGATTATTTCAATTTGGTGTTTTCCACGACCAACATAGCCACCTAAATACATTTCCCTTTATTTGTCGTTTTTTCCCTCAATTTGAATGATTCCTAAATCACTACCTAACTTAATACTACTTGGAACTTTATACTATTTGTAGTAATTTTATTTTTTTTAAATACAATGGATGGTTTAATGAATGATAAAATATGAGTGGAAGAAAGCTCATGAGATTTATAGATCTAACAGAGTGAGATGATGTCATTTCGATAATTAACATGAAGGGAACTGAGGAGATAATAATTACTACAACTATTCCGGAATTATTAAGCTAAATGCTTTTCTACAATAATGTTTGAAATTAGAAATGTTACTTGTTACTGACCAAGAAATAAATAGCGCCTTACTGGAGGTAATCCAAAACCATCAAACACTCGTAAGAGTGAATGAATGCTACCGCATAAATTACCGACTACAATTAGGCCATCGTTTGTTAAATTAAATTCTATCAAAATTGGCCCTTTCAAGAATAAATCTGCTCCATAATGTAAAATCTGGAAATTTCGACATTAAAAATTATAAAAATATAAATTATATCCAGGGTTTAAGTTGAGATATTTTGTTAGGTTGAGATATATATATATATATATATATATATATATATTTTTTTTTTGTTTGAGATATATATTTCAGGGTTTAAGTTGAGATATTTTGCTGAAAAAAAAATAGTATCGAACAGACAAACCTCAATAATTTCGGCAGTCGAGAAATGCTTCCGAATGGGTGTATCACTGTTGATACAGCGTATGAGAACAGTGATGTATGTTTCAAGTTTAGTTTGAGTAAGTTTGGTCCTACACCTATGTACCATTCACAGTATTTCTCAATATTAAATCAGACAAAAACTGCACAGACGAATGCAGAGGACAAATCTTGAGTAACTGCAATGGAACGAAAGCTTTTGGTAAACAACTGAACTTTCTAGATCCCTCCTCTTTAATTCGGGTTGCAATCGCAAAGATCATTTCGAGCATGACCACTTACCCACACATATACATACATTTGAAATCCCATTTGGAGGTATGACAAATATCCTTATTCGCAACAAAACTCAAAATTCTCGAAGCTTTTACTATTCGGATATTTCTAGCACAATGATGCGCGTCTCCCCTTATTCATAAATTCATGTATTATCATTTTCCTAAAAGGGCAAAATTTCGTGCCATTTATTAAAAAGTAGAATGTGATAACAATAAGTGCTTTGTGTTTTATTCAGAATTTTTTCTAAAAATCACCACCAATACAAATATCTATGAAAAACCATTATTTACAAGCTTTTAGATGAGATAAAAAGAATAAAAGTTACATACCCGAGTATATTTTTCAATTGAGCAAGGCATTACATCAAAATTCCAATCGACAATACCGCTTGCTGGACGACTTTCAAGACAGAATACGGAACAAACAGCGAATATGTACAAAAATTGCTAACAATCAGCGATAAACTCAGGAAAAAAAACGTTATACGAAGCAATAAAAGGATAAAAACAGGAGATGAAGAAGGAGTACGAATTTCAAAAAATTAAGATGATTAAAATTGAATAATTATATTAAAAGCACACTTCAGATTTTCAATCATCAAGTCGAAGTTTTTTACATATACTGCTATCACTAGCAATGCCACTACTGCCAGAGGTGTCCGAAATTAATGTTGAAGAATTGTCATTTAATCCAGGTAATTCGAAGGAATGCGCTATTGAAGAAGCATTATAACGATCGTACTGAAACAAACATATTACTGCCGATAAAAATCCAATATTCACAAATGAAAAATACAAGTATATTTTCAAAAAAAATGCATGAAACAGAATAAAAAAATCCAGAATATAGAAATATCCTTTCATTTAATTTCATAGAAGTTGGGACTGCAACAAATGCACTGGAATTATTGAAATACGCAGCCTAAAAAATTGCTTATTTATAAATATTTATTAAGAAAGTTATTTTTTATAATTGAGTTTAGTTTTCTTCCTAAAAAGAATACCTGTGACAATTCCCATAATTCTTCAATGTTCAATTTTTCTCCGATATCCGAACTTGTGAAACGTTTGTCAGAAGTTGAAGGTGCATCACTGTTACGTGATTTCTTTGAAAAGCGTGCATCAACACTAGTTCCAGGTAAGACATCGTCTATCGCAAAAAGTTCTACAAGCTGTTCTGTAGCCATAGTTTGCAGAGAACGGTTATCCGCACTAACTAGTGCCTATAAAATCATGTGATGTCAAGCTGAACATTTCGAGGTCACATTACTTTAGAATATTAAAAAGTAGCTTCTGATTAAAATTTATCATTATGCAAGAACAAGTGCGTAAAACCAACATTAGCTGTATCTGTCTTAAATTTTTGTAATCGCATAATTTTTTGCTCGATAGAACCTTCTGTAATTAATCGATAAACATTCACAACACATCTTTGTCCAATGCGATGGGCTCGATCCATAGCTTGCAAATCTTTCACCGGATTCCAATCGTGTTCCAAAAAAATAACAATATCGGCTCCTATTAAATTGAGTCCCTCGCCACCTATCTAAATAAAAGCTATAAATTAGCAAAATTTATATATGAAAAAAGTGAGACAATAGTAAACTTAAAACAAGCTAAAAGTATGCTGTTTATTTCGAGTAAATTGTTTGAAATGTCATATAAAATGTTATAATTCATGAAATGTTATATAAAGATGTGATAGTAAGAGCCTTTTTCTGAAGGATGATGTTTAGTTTTAATCATCAACAGAACAAACATTGCAATGAATGCCAATGCAGTTTTGTTATTCTAGAATCCAAAAAATGCTTTTTTAAACAGCCACAAATTTTTTTAAAAGAAAGTCACAATACATCAGTAAACTCTAAACAAAAGCTAACATTTGTCGTAAGAATTAACACATGTATACTAGGATCGATATTGAACTTTTCAGCAACAGCATGTCTCTCATTCAAGGCTACCGTTCCATCCAGTACAGCATATCTAAATTATGGAAGAAAATAATGAAGTAATTGCACAAATGCTCCCACAATCTAATAAAATTTCTTTCTTTTCAAAACTCGATGATTATGTATAGGAACGTTACCTTGAAACACCCATTATCATCGTCAAGACTGTTTGCATTCTAACTTGTCAGTCATGAGGATAATATGTCTAGAAGTTAAAGGAACAATTAGTGAAACGCTTGTTGTGATAAAACTAAGCTATTAAACCATTAAGAAATGTTACATTAAGTTAACCTTATATCAGATCCTAATTCTCCCGAACTGAATAGATTCACAAGAAGCTGAACTGTGGCCAGTCGCTGACAAAATATAAGGGCGCGATGGCCATTACCAGTCTCTGATATTTCGCTATCTGCAATGTAAAGAGCATAGTTTTTTCTTACATCATCACAAAACTATGGAAATTGGTTGACTTGGAGAGGAAAACAGATTTGGTGAGTATACTTCTTTGTACAAGAAATTTAGTATCGTTAGAAATATAGCACTGAAATTTAACATTGGATCGGTATTTCAGGCAATATCATTTCTCACCAGCTGGATAAAAGAGAACTAATATATGTCCAAAGTTATCACAATGGTTTCTATACATTGCAGATTTTACAAAATATAACACAGTGGAAATTCATTTACTGATCAGAATTCAATGTTACCTTGCACTGCAGATTCCTCAGACAGTGCATAGTGTTCTCGCGAACCAATGCCACATTCTTTAAGAAGTTCTCTCAAAGCGATTATTTTACCGGATTCCTCAACACAACCCCGCAGCTTGTCCATGTGCAAACTGAAATTGGTGAACAAATCAATGCGAATGTAAAATACGAACGTGGAGGAACACGCTAAATTCCATCTAATCTGATCAACAATGATTGGAACACTTACTCTTCCAGCGACTTGTGACTCACAAGAGAAGGATGAACAGTACACTTCCGAAGTTCAGCAATAGTCTCTAGAGCACAAAAACTTGGACGATTAGTAGAAGTTCGACGAGCGGATTGGTACATGTCGACAATATGGTTGTATACAAAGCGTTGCACAATGGTCATGCTGCACATGTAATCTTGCACAATCTTCTCGGGCAGATCTTCAAGCACGTCTTTTTTCAGGCGCCTCATAACAAATGGTAAAATTGATTTGTGTAGCCGCTCCAACGCATCCTGGCCCTCCTTAAAGCGATTATTCCACGCAAACAAAAAAATTTCGTAACTTCATTTTCAAAGGCATCAAAAGTACCTGCAGCTATTTGAAAAAAATAGCTGATTGAGTGTATAAAAATAGCAATGGGGAAGTATCCAGGAAACTGAAACCAATAAAAATGAATCCTTACAAAAAAGAAATCTGAATTTCTTATGTGAATTTCGGGAACAATCCACATCACATATATGCACTAAAAACATTAACTAAAAATGTACCTTTATTTCCTGAACGGAAGCATTAACATTTCGTGATCCGTTTATTGCATTTAAAAAGGTCAATTTAAACTGTCTCATTGTCCCCAAATAACCAGGCATCAGGAACTGAAACGGTACTATATATACTGCCACGACAGAACAAAAAAATGTACAAAAATACACTGACTAAAACTTTCACGGTTTTGTCCCAATTAGAATTAAAACTAAATATAAGACATGTGCTATCAAAATGTTTCAAAGTAATTGATCTTGTAAAGCGGAAACGAGCTAGAATTTGAAAAACTAAAGAAAGTAATACCTGAAAAAGAGCCCAAAGATCTGCTGGAGTATTCTGAACAGGAGTTCCAGAAAGTATGAGACGATTTTGTGCTTTGATGTTAGTTAAAGCTTTAAACAACTGCGTGGTAGGGTTTCTTATCATGTGACCTTCATCTAAGATCATGTAATACCATTCTATATCTCTGAAAGCATACCGTTGCAAAAGCAGTGATCGTAACTGAGATTTTCTATATGTTCTAAAGAACTTCAAACTTACTGAACATACGTGCAGAACCGCACGGTGTTGTACGATATAACTGTAACTTTTTGCGACTTATCCATCAATTTCTTTTCTTTACAGCCTTCCTCGATTTTATGAAATGGTGATAAGGATGGAAAAAATTTCAACCATTCGGCACACCAGTGATTAACCAAAGTTGGAGGACACACAATTAGAACCTTTAATATTATATTGTTAAGAGACTTTTTTATAACAACTTTTCAGAGTCTTCTCGATTACGGACAATGTTTTAAACGGTCACTTACGTTCTTTGACTTTGTGAATTATCTCTCCCTGTCTTTTCCACTTTTTCGAAACTTTTATACTGATAAATCTGCTTAGATCATTCAACCGACAAACAGTCATCTCGATAACAATAAACATTAAATCGATATAAATTATCAGTATTTCACTAACTTTTGCTTGAGGTTTACGGTTGATTTTCATTGCCAATAAACATAGTGTCTGAAGGGTTTTACCAAGTCCCATATCATCAGCAAGTATGCCACTTAATCCATACTCTTCCAAAAATGACATCCACCGAATACCCTCCTGCAAGTTGAAGAGAACTTATTTACGGAATAGCAATCAAGATAATTAATAATTATTTTTCGTCATTTCTAGCAAAAATATGAAAAACAGTTTTCTAAGCGAGAAGAAATGGAAATATTGATACAAACTTGCTGATACTGCCGTAAACAAGTCGAAGCATTTAGTCCTTTGATATCAGTCAATCGTAATTCTGGTAACCGACTAGGATCGCCCAATAGCAGATCAAGAGTATTACCACCAAAAATTTCATCTGCTACATCATTTTCCAAAACTCGCTCTCCTTCGATTCGTCGGTTCTAAAAGTACTTCGTAAAATAATGTCAACGATTCGTCGATTCTAAAAGTACATCGTAAAACTTCGCGAAATAATGCCAACAGCATCAAATAGTACCAAAGTTTTTGTATTTAGTACAAAAAACTAACTGCTTTTAACGTCATCAATGGTACAAAATTACGAAAAGATATTGCCGCTGCTTCCCGTACAACCTGACAACTGTCTGCCATAAGACGTAGAGATATTGGAGCCAGTAAACGAAGACCTCCCAGCATCTAAACGAACTGCGTTGTTTTCATTATAAATGCAATTAAAATAGCAGAGTAAACGAATATTTCATTATAATGATCGATGATATAAGAAAACAAAAACAGTCTTACTTCCACATGGAAACCACTAAGAAGAAGGAGCAGTTCTACAAGCCCGCATCGAACGTGTGCCCGTGTTTCTCCAGTGCGTAATTTCTTTTGCAATGGTGCTACAGCAGCCTGTAATACTGATCGAAGAAATCCATCTATGCGAGCGATATTACTCAAACATTGCGCAGCACAATATCGAACAACTGCATTTTCTGCTACAAAATGAAAAATTCTTGCAACGAGAAAATTTGAGATCTTCCAAGTTGATTCCTGTAGAAATTTTAAAAACTGTCCAATTATAACCGAAGAAAAAAAAGAGCGAAAATAAAACACATAATGATTAGCAACCTACATGTCAAGTGTATTCCAAGCTCCAAAACAACGTCGGAGAGATGAGGCGGAACACGTTGTTGTATCCTACTTTCATCAACGAAAACAGTGTAAGCCATCATAAACATAGCTGCTTCCTTAAAAAAAAAAAAGAAAAAAAACATACATGTCTTATTTGTGATTTCAACTTATGACAAATAATACAAATACCTTTCATACACTGAAAAAAAGCGGAGGTATTAAGAAGTTTTTCTTTGCTTTGATCATGTGCTCGCACAAATTCACTACAGCCTTATAACTGCACTACACCTCTATAAGATGAGGTTAAATAATAGGGAGCATCAGTTCGTTATATCCCCACTCATTTTGAGATTTCATTGTGACAAGTAAGTAACGGCTGAAATATGTCGATACACATGAAGAAAATGTATCCCAAAACACATGAAATTGTAATCTGAACTGAAAAATACGCGACTCCTTATATTAGAGTAGAACACACCTTCAAGGAACTGCGATTTCTGAAATCCAAAAGAGAAGCCATATCGGTACCGGCAATAGGTGTCACCAACATGCGAATGACGTATTCTGCATTTTGAGATCGTGAAGAAAAAGGTCCCCTTGAACACTGTGATAAAACCACTTCTCTGCAAGTTTTATGAAATATGTGATATACCAACAAAAGTGTTTGATTTCACGCACAAAATCCAAAGATTAAGGAGGACGGAAAAAAATCATTAATCACCAATGTCAAATACTTTCATTGCGATATAAAAACGAGAAGCATAACTTTCACTAATCAAGAATGCTAACCTGTCAGTTTCTGGAGGAAATCGATTAGCACACGAAATCAAACTTACAACTATTTGCTTGATCATCTTAGCGTGAGGACTCGGTTGCTTTTCTGAAAATAATCGTTACTAATATAGTTGGTGAATGCGTTACATCTGTAATCAGCATAGACGTATTTCAAATCTTCTAAAGTGACCTTTTTACTGTTGTCACTTTATGAATTCTGCATGGCTTGTTTTGACATTGCTCAGCTGGTATCACTCCAGAAGTGCTTTGCGTTGATCAGTAAAAATGTAAATGTGCAAATACTCGAGAACAGTAACCATTTACGGAATAAGGAATTGACTAATGACGATAATAATTATTATTTACAAAACCAAATTTTTACCAGAAGCTATTCGAAATAGAATTGGTATTGAGTTTAGAGCATACTGAGCAAACGTTACGTTTTCTTCATAGCGAATAAGTTCCATCAGAGGTTTTACAAAAGGATTCAGTGATGGAGAATCCAACAAGGACCTCGGATAAATTAATAGTAAGGAAGAAACGGTCAGTGCATTAACACGTCTGCAATAATTAAACTGATTTAAACAATCTACTGTTCTAAGCACAAATTTCGGCCAGTGTTAAGCAGCCTTCAAATAATCATAACTTCTGTTTCAAGTGGTAAAAAAACGAATATTTTTCTGGACTGAGAAAATTCGGAAATATTTCACATGAAGATCAATGACTTACGAGATGTTTGATGTCATCACTGCTTTGGCTGTTGCGACGGCATACTTGAAACTTTCATACCTCAAACGCAATATTTCTCTGTCGTTCGTTTCTCTCAAAATATTGTAGCAGATATCGTAAAGTGCACTAAACATATAAATTTATTAAAAAGATTGAACAAAAATGGACAGCTATGTGTATCAGTGTGTATCAGCTATGTGTATCAGACATATCACTAAACTGAAGGGCCTTTTCGAAAGAAATATTTCGAAAGAATGTTCGAAAGAAATAAATTTTGGTTAAAAAGATCATGCATAGAAGGTACCACGCTGGATAATCTCATCAGATCCAAATTATTTGAAGTATCAGTATGAAAGTAGAAGACCTAAACTGAGCAAATATCAAATTTCCATAATAATATAGAAATTTTATAAAAAAAAAAACGAGTTTGAGACCTTGCATTGTTATCAACAGTATCTCCATGTCCTTCCACATCGAATATTTCAGCTGCAGTAACTCCTTTCTTCCGACAATAAGATGCAAAATCTTTATAAGCATTATCGAGATATAAAAAAAACATCTTCTCGTCATCATAAGCAGCATTTGGTGACATAATTAAACCGTGAAGCACTTCAGCTACATAATTGGGAATATCAATCGTTATTCCCGACCTCCTATAATAATACCTTTACTACTAAAACTAATACTTATTTCATTGGAACTTACTTCAATTTCATTTTTTAAGTGGATGTTTCCCAACTAAGAACATCTGTTAACAATACCTATGCTGAAAGCGAAGAAAAAAGTGATTTCATTACCCTAGGAAATGTATCAAAAAGTAAAGAAATTTGAATTAATATTCAGCATCTCGAACGAACCGTCCCTGACTGAATGACAGTCTTGAGATCATTAAGATTTGGAAGTTACAGCCCAATAGTGTTCACTTCTCATTCATGATTATTCGGTTTTGTTTTCATAAATAATACTGATAGAAAAATTTCAGAAAAGGCAGTTAATAATTTTGGCAATGCTTAGGCTAAGCTAACTAAAAAAGTATAAGTAAACTTACCAGACATATGTAAACCAAGCGTGACTTAGTAATACTCCGCCAAGTCTATGCATGATTACTAGAGACTTCATTGTAGGAGTAATTAGCAGTTGGACTGCTTCACTTAGTAATTGATTGCCTATCTAAAAATTATAAAAAAAGTTAATATGACGGATGTGAAATTCATCAAATCGATTCAAAAAAAGTTAGTTAATTCTACCCAATCAGTACAGTATGTCTTTCGATTACGAATATGATTACATTCGGCATGTTCCGTGTGGAACTTTTTAAACAGACTAAAGGAGGCAAATCAATCCGTTGTTCAATGCAGATTAAAGGGAAGCGAAGAATCAAACTAACAAACAGAGGGATTAAATAAATAATAATAGTTACTTTCGAAGGGAAATTATAAATAGCTGAAATCAGAGGAGCTAGAAAACGAGCCACATGTAGTTTACGCGTTAGGACAACATCAATCCGAATCATATCGCTCAAAGATCGTATCTCATCACCACATAGGCATTCCGTCGGATTTCGGCTAGTGCCTGAACCCACATTGCATTTTTCGAGATCTAAAAGAGTATACTCAATATTTTCGTAAAAAGTTAAGCTAATGAGGTGAGAGTAAACAATAAGGCAACAACAAACCAATTTCTGCATTTCGTGCATCAATAAGAAGACAAGCAGTCCAACGACCAATTGTTTCAACTAAAGCTTGTGGTAAATGCTTTGCAAATATAAAAGACTCGACGATACGATGAACGCATAATATACAAGCTTCGATGAGATCCTCCGTATCCTGTGGTGCAGTAAAAAGGACAATATGAAATAAAGACGCTAATATTGACACTGTACATGCTTCAAATTCATCACACTCGTTCTGGTCCTGGAAAGGGTTTTTTACTAATTTTTGTCTGATTTGATACAGGTGTTAAAGTCTCCATTAAGCGCATAGGCTCGGTAACTTTAAGAATTTTTATTTGACTTACATAGGTTCAATACTACATCAAAAGATTCTCTACTTAAGTATGCAGCGCCTCACACAATAGTTAAAGAGTATTATTACCATATATATCACTCACAAAAATAATTTCTCGCTAACAAGTATTATTTTTCTCTACCGTCTTCACTACTAAATTAAAAACATGAACATTATAAAATGTGTGCTCATGGCAAAATTTCATAACTACCAAACTTTCATGTTCCCCAAAATCTGACAAAAACACGGATAAAGTCTAACCTTTAAAGGTGATAACCTGGAGAATGATACAGAAAAAACACTGATTACTTTAAGTGATAAAGTGATGTGCAACGGATCCAAAAGACGAGCAAGATTATTCGATACGGGGTAGGGTAATTTTCGTGCAGAATCACCTTGCAGCCAGATAACTAACAACGACAAAAGATCAACTGCTACGGTGTCAATATCCAGTAACTGTAAAAAATAATTGAAATCTAGTAGGATATAAAAAGTTTTGCAACAATCTTTAACTAAGTTTTCATAAAGTGACCAATTCACTGGCATCAAGTGATTTGTCGACTCTTTCTGTATATTTCATTTCATTTTAAAGAAAACCGCCAATTTCTTCGAATTAAAAAAGCACTCTTCATAAAATTATTCATTTTGAACATGCTAGCCTGATTTCTCGAAACGTTGCATGTAGAATCGATGAAACGATAGATAACGTGTTCCACATGTGAGATCATTTCCGACACTTCTGGCTTCAAATCAGCTTTGCAAAAAAGAGTGGTTATCGCAGACAAAGCTGAAGCACATACCTAAAGATTCAATTTATGAAATTATAGAGCAGAATATTGTCTGGCAGTAATAAAAATTTTTGTTTCTTCCAAAGCGAAAGGATAACAGCTCATACATCTTCACAGAAAGCGCAGTAATTCTGCCACACTTATTCGAAAAGATTTTTGTCACTTCTTTTAACTAAGAAAATGAAAGTGTTGGTTCTCTTATCATTTTGCGATAAAACCGGTAATTTTAAGCAAATGAAGACAGAAACACTATGCAGACCTCGTCGTGGGAATCCTCAAAGGAACATAGTAATAATTTGAAGATTTCATTGAATTTAACATCGTAATACGATCCAGCAAGATGATACTTTATTATCAATAATGCCGCTTGACGATGGAACCACGTCTAAAAATATGCGGACTAAAAACTACTAGCATATATCGAGTCTACCCGACATTTACAATATGTTTCTGTTTTATAACAAAGTATGCTAACAGTAGATAACGATTTCTACATTGTACATTAGAGATACATTGATCATTCGAGCTAGGGAATCTTTAGATCTAGGAATCAAATAACAATTAGTTACTTTACATCTGCAAAGCTTTTCTAATCATATTATACAAAACTTACATGTTTATGAGATTCCAAATCATTAGTGTTTTGGCATTCAGCTTGAATACCACAGGTCATTTTATGTAACGTATATATATGGTCAAAAATGATATCTACAAATTCTGAAAATGGAAAAACCATCGTCAGGCGTGCAATACATTCTGCAACTGCTTCGCGAACTGGACCTACTGCTGTCCTAAAGTAAGTTATGCATAGAAAGGTTATGAAATTTAATTCATAACATGAAGAAATGAACCTAGATCAGTTCTATATTATAGTGAATGAACTCTGACAATTAAATAATTTACCGGGAATATTTAGCGGAGCACAATTTAACCAAGTGGTCAAACTACCAACCTTCCGGAAGAAAAATCAATGAATTTGTCCAGTGCAATAGCTTGAAGGAGCCTAGTTGCTAGAACATCGACCAATGATGGTGGAAGCCTCAAAATTCAATCTCGATTAGGTTGAAATAACTGATTTTTCTAGAAAAAAGATTTTCAATTCATTCCTTACATAGCTTCATTACATTAAATGAATTAAAATTCGAAATCACAGTGTAAATACTTCAACACACCGCGATGGAGCAACTGTTAAGATACAAGCGATTGCCAGGGCAGCTCCATGTCGAATTTCCCATTTCACATCAACTACATCACGCATCAACTGGATACAGACTGAATATACAGCTGCATCTAGCTCTTCCAAACTGTCGTCACAGCCAACAGTATCGGCAGTTACAGGATCTAGCTGAAATAATTTGACACTTATAAAAGTAGCCCATTAAAATTCTACAGAACAGTGGTATAAATAAATATCACATTAGCAAGGATTCTGCGTTCATAATGGCTGAACAGTTTCTACAACGTTTTTTGAACACATGAAACAAGTATAATTATAACACGTCAACTAGCGTTTGAAGAAGAATGATGTGGCATAAGGTGTTCATGCATTGTATACGAGATGTAGAAACCGACTAGGAGATTTCGTATCTGACTTTGTGCTTGTAATAATAGCTAAACAAATGAAAAAAAAGATAAGTGTACATGAACTGTACATGCAAAAAAGCGAAAATTCTAGAAAATGCATAACATCAGGAAAATGCATTCATTATTACTGCAACTAATCTATTGGAACTAAATTTATGTCACTCTGATAAAACAACTGATACCAAATCAAAGATCCCAACAACATTATAAAGTTTTTATCACTTTCAGTATTTTCATCTGCCAAACAATTCACAAACAAAGTTAAAAAAAGTAAAAAACCAACAAACTTTTTTCTCTGGGATAATCTCCTTGATATTTCCAGACAAACTGAAGTCATCCTCCGAAAGAAATGTTCCAGATGAGATACCAACAACAGATTGGAAATCAAGCTGTTCATCAACCAATTTCCGTTGTTCACCGAAACTACAAACACCCATTCGTGTCACCAATTCTGCCTCGCAGCTGAAACTTGAGAATTTACAAATTCAAATGTTTCGCTTTTCATTTGGTACCGAAACAATTTCAGACTACAATCATTACTTTACCTAAGTAACGGATGATATGTGCGTACAACATCTTCCAGATTCAATCGGGAAACACTGTCGATCCGTGGTGAAACGATTTGACTTTTGGAAGGCATAGCTTTCAGAATAGCTCGGAATGCTTCAACTGCCGCCTCTCGTGTATCCCACGCACTTGCTTGGAAATTATTCCTTCAGAAAAAAAACTGAATTATTTGATAAGCAATAAGTCACTTTCTACATATCTTCATAACGAACCACTATCATGATTAAATTACCCTAAACTAACCACTTATTACAGTACACGAAATGATTCCTCTAATATCATCTCTGATATGTCGCTGCTAAACGTAGACTTTTGAAAAATTATCAGCGAAAGGTACATTACACTGATGAACAATCTACTGATTCTGGCAAGAACTTTTTATGCAAAGTTCAAGATATTATAGTTAAGCATACTTTAGAATATCAATAACGTGGGGATTTGTGAGCGGAAAATGACCAAGAGCTTGAGCGGCTTCATGTCGTACTAAAGCGTTGCGTGACGACAGTAATACACCAAGCCGTTCTGTCCTGTTCGCCTGTTTTTCCATTTTTTTTGTGGTGCTTTGCACCATATAAAAAAGTTAACCTGAAATATAAAGATTTTATTTCAGCAGAACTTTGTGGTAGCATAAAGTGAGAAACTTGCATCCTCAACTCCAACTTCCCGAAGCAACTCAATTCAGTTCAACCACAAGTATGTTGCTAGAAATCTTTTACAAGCCTGCTCTCTTCATGAACTCCTAACCCGTGAAAACTTCAAATTCGGAATTTCTATCTGGATTGTCGTGATCGTCCCACCATCCAAAACACAATATTTTTTGAAGGTACACATTAAACACGACCAGATAGATGTCGTAAGCTCTACGTACATTCATAGTACATGTTCATAATTTTTGCTAAGATAGTAGGCCAGAAAGAAACATTCCTGAACTAAAGAACGACACTACCTATACCAACAAAGACGCAGTAGATACAACCACCTTCCTCGAACTCTCCAAAAGTACAACACTAAAATTAAAACTGACGGCCGACCGTTGAATACTGGACCATGGGAGAGGATGATCTGAATAGAGACGTGTGCTGCTCGTGAGAGGTAAGTGAAGTTGCACCTCCTGCTGCTCTTTGTCGAAAGCTTTTTCGTATGTTCATATGTGATATGCAAATTAACCTTTCAAAAAGATTTCGCCTACTGCTTTTATAAACTTGAATAATTTTTCTAGATACCATAATCAAGGTTGTCATAATAGTGTGACCAGGTTTTTGAGCTTCGATTGATTTTCGTTGTTAAATGGGGGTTTATATTGAATTAATTTGGAAGTCCACGTCAATTGTGTACTATCTACATTTAGTCTGAACCCTCATTATGTGTATGCAAAGAGTTTACACTTTTTGCAATGAGTATTTTTTTCAGTTCCAACAGAGTTATGCTCATTGTTTTTAATCTTTGTCCAGTGTCTTCACTCACACATATATTCTCTTACGTACACAGTCCTCTCTTAGGAATTTCCGAACTCAAGGCCTTAAATCAGCACAATGATATACACAAAGGCCAAACCTGCGTCTTCGATTTTTTATTCTGTCTCTGCAATAGAAGTAGGAAACAAAGTTTGACATGCAATGTAACCAATTTCAGTTTCTTAAATAAAATAAATCATGAGATTAAGCCTTTTCAATCAACCACGTCTCAATGCTTATAATGCGAAGAAGTTCATCCACGTTTGCAAACAATAACCTTAATGGTTACAAGCTTTCAAAGTAGCCTTGTGATCTGCCAACTTCATCCGATGTTTTATTCTATTTCTGCAATAGATGCTCATTTAGGTAAACTTGAAAAAAGTCATTCCAAAGTTAATTAATTATCATGAATAGCTTCAATGACGCGGTAAATGAACGTAACAAGTTTATAGGAATTTAAGGATTTCTGTACTAATCTCCGACGCTTGTTTTAAAATAGAGTTTTCCATACTATTCAGGGAATTGCTTATTGGTAACATTCATCGAGAATGGAATGAAGTCAACATTCGAAATCTCAACAAACAAATCACCCTGAGATTTCCGATCTCGAACTTTGGCTTTCACATTCACGGTAGTGTCGATTTGTAATTTGTGAAATGGAATACTTGGGTTATGTCAGCAGCCGACGTAATCGGTCACTTCACCGCTGAAGTTGAGCTATCATCAACAGCCCATCTTTCCATTCTTTTCTAATTTAATCAATTATTTCATCGTCTTCGTCATCCGAGACTTTGTAATCTTCAGAGCTCTTTGAATAACTTTTCAAATTTCATCAGTCTAAGCAGTGTCAGATGGCTTTTTTTGCGAAAGTTCATGCAACTCCATCTTTTGATTACAAAACGTGACCTGCATCTTACAACTGTTGTAGTTACGGATGCTTCTAGCTACGGTATTGAAGTGGTTATTTCTTGTCATCTTTAGATTCTGTGATAAGGCGGTTTTTTCTGATTGACCCTTGGTCGAAATAGTTGAAAAAAATCCATGATGGGAATTTGATTTCTTGATTGATCTCAAACCTTGCAAAAAGAAAAATGTTTTCCATAACTGATTTCACGTGAGTAGTGCAATGACTTTAAATTTGGTTACCCCTTTCCTAATCCTTGACCACTGCAAAACAATTAAATTTGGTGTCCAATAGATTCCCTCAGATATAATTGTTAGTCCTTCTAGTTGGTCGAGACAAGATTCGATTACCATTGCTTTGTGAACAGATCGTTCTAATCAAAATCACCACAAACCACAGCTAGTCTTTACTTCAAACAGGATTTTAGTCGTAAGTATTCATTTATCTCTTGCCGGTAGTTGTTTGACATACGAAGAACGAGATTCGTATTCTTTTATAGTTTCGTTATATTCATTCAGATATAGGTCGAATGAAGAGTTCCGGTTGTAGCCATGCCTAGTGCCCGGAATGGATGACGACATCAAAATTCTTGTATGAAACTATTATCAGTGCAAAGTAGTGGCTAAATCAAACCGAAAATGCTTTCTTAATTTCACACGGATTGTGCAAGAGCTTTGGCTACCTCCTGCTCCTTGTCGATTTTCTCTCAAAAGTTGTTGTTAGGAACAGAAAGACTTCATCAACATCTTTCATCTTCTTAATGAAGTTTTTGTTTATTTCAGAATGGCAAAAATTACGCAGTTCACCTCTACTGACCACTAGTTCGGCTGTGTCTTATTTATCATACGCATTCTAATAGTCTCCAAGAAATACTGAAAAGATTGCCAAAAATCATTGGATGACTCAAGCAATCTGAGAGCACAGAAATTTGAATTGTTTATTGATCATCCACTTCTAACTCATTCCAGTCTGCTTCATCCTCTCAAGCAGAAAATGAAACAGCAGTTCAATATTAACTATATATTCAATATTAACTATCGGTCTCGACGATTCCAGTGCGATCAACTCGAAAGTGTTAAAGTCATCCTATGGGCAGTTGTGGCTCATTAACCAAATCATACGATTCTGTGGCAATTGTTTCGTTTTAGTTCGGAATGAAAAGAAAGAGGTGACAATTAAGTACCCCTCATTAATTCCTAGCTCTGCACCGTGGTATCTGATCTTTTTCTGCGACAGAGACTGTGGTTAATGGCGTTATTAGCCATCAATCCATAGTCGTACAATATTTGCACATTTGTCTCCAATGATGGTATCCAAAATAATACCGAAATTTCAAATAATCGCCTCGCATTTCAGTCGATTGCTTACTAATTCAATTCGTATGTTCGTATTCAATTCGTCGTTACAAACTGACTTCGCGGCGTAATTTTTATTCGATTAGTTTCAGTTTCATTTTTTTCCCTTGCTTTTTCCAATGGGACTGCTTTTTCAGTGAGAAGTGTTGTTTTCCACGTTGAGTGATCTGCCGGATTTTCGATGTTTGTGTGTGGATACGTGTACATGAACGTGTGTTCACGCAAGCGCATGAAAAGTTCTGAATGTGAAGGAGATAGTTTCTGATTGATATGGTTATGAAAAAAAAATATTAACGTTGCTTCCCAACTGTGACTGAAGATGTTACAGTTAAGAAGTGACACTGTTTGCGGATGGAACGTTTTTAAAATCCAGTGAGTGGATCGAAAATTTTCAAAAATATGCAAAAATATGATAAGGAAGTCGAAAAGCCATGGAAGACCTGGAGACAGAATCAAAGAGCTTCAGAAAAGATCACTAGATAATCAGTGGAATTCTCGTACAATACAAGATTGTTGCAGAAAGATGCAAAGCAGGAAATGAAAAAAATCTTGCATTCTGAAATATGCTATGAAGATAAAAGAAATTGACTTGAAGATGTTTGCTTACCTTTTAAGCCTTTAATTTCATCCCAGATATCTCGGTCATTTTTTACAGACAATAATTGAAAAACGTTTTTCCTGTTTCACGGATATAGAGAGAAGGTGTTACAGCAATGAGTTAAAAACTGCGTAATTTTCGAATCTTCGGTGCACTAAACACCGCATACACTTGAAGTGATGGATTTGCTCATTATCAAAAATCATATAGGACATAATAATTTCGATAATCTTTCCTAAAAATAACTTCGTATTCTACTACTGCTATCTAATTTCGAATCATCGATTTAAAAATTTTGATAAAAAATATTGAAAAAAATCGTTTGTTCCATGAAGCAACGGCAATGAAACAATTCACATTCCTGTAAGTATCATTGATTTCCGAAGATAACAACCACTTAAAAACTGATCAAATTACCTCAATTCCGAAATTTCAATAATTAATTTAGAGTAGTTTTCTGAAAACTATATTATGATTTTATGGGATACTTGCCATAATGGATCACAAAGATAGCTATATCTATGTTATCATTTTCAGAAGAAAAAATTGTGCAATTATCTTTAAGCAAAAATTGTCGTAAATTGGAAATTTCGAAAAGACTTGGAAAAATTAAATACATTTCTTATTCAATATTTCACTGCTATATCTGTGTTATCATCTTTATCTTTAAGCGATGCCATTTTATGCAGTTAGTGTTTCTCTTTCGAAATCTAATGCTTAATATAATATATCAGCGGTTGAGTGATATTGCACTTATTGTCAAACTTTCCGTTTCAATCATTTGACAAGTTCTCCAAAAACCAGTTCCTTCATGCGACATATAATAAAATTCACTCTGCGAAAATGATTCGTAAATTTACACCCTGCTGATTCTATCAAGATTACTTGAGCTTTTAATGTGGTACTGTCAGCATTCCTTCTGCGATATGTTGATTACATGAGCCTCTTGTTTTTTGGAATTTTGGATGGGAATTAATAAAGTGATAAAATTTATTGTACTGAAATCGCATAATATAATGCAAAACAAAAGGTTTAGACTTGCAATTATTAAGTTTTTTTTTTCACCAATGGTACTTAACTCAATCATTAAATTTGCAAAACACTCTGAATTTTCAATATCACTATATTTTGTAAAATATGGCTAAAATTTTGCAAGGTTTTCCATCAGTTACCATTTTAAACTGATTTAAATAAATGAAATTTCGATTAAGACCAGTTTTACAATTCTCAAAGTCTTTTTCGTTATTGAGATATCGCTACAACAAGTTAAATAAATGAGAGAAATTTTCACATAACAAATCTCACTTTCTGATATCTTAGCACAATTCATTTTGAATTTATATTTTAAATATTGAGCGACAAAAACCACGATTTCACGAAAAGAGTACAGAACAACTGAAATGAAAGCGAATTAGTAAGATGAAATGTTCTGTGTATTCTTTTTATACAGTTATTTAGCTTAACTAAATTGTTGATGAATCATTGGTTGTAATTGTTATAATTTTTATTCTTTTTATGTTCTTTTATTTTCTCCGCTGATAATGCATCAGTATATCTTCCTTTTCTACACAGACTTGTTGTAAAAATATAATCAACTTCATTCCTATTAAAAGGAAACTTTCCTCTAAACAGGTAATGAAATAACCTTTTATCTTTGCAGCCAGCTATGAGAATTTTATTTCGAAGTAAGATGACATCTATTTCTTTCGCCCATTTTCAATTTCATTTTAATTGGTGAAAGAAATCTTCAAGTAATATTATCAAAGATGTGATAATGATATCGCTCCTTCACGTTCTTCCTTTCTTTCACATTTTTTTTTACAGTGTATTTTTTAAAAACTTACTTAAAAAATATTTTTAACAGAAATTTTAGTCGCTTTTGAATCAAATCTGCATCGTTAATCGTATAGTCTAAGATCAATGTACATCTCATAATTTTGAAAGATATCCATGAGAATGACGGCGATTCAAAGATCTGTGAAAGAATAATAGTGGTGTACGTGGTGAGGAGGATAGCTGATCCGAATCAGTAGAAAAAGTAATCTTCGAATATCTACATGTTGCGGTGGGATTACATTTGTGAAATATCGTATTACATGGGTTGAAAAAATTTGAATGCAACAAAAATTCTGCAGGGAAATTTCTTTTATCATGAAATAATCTTGATTTTCTTATTTTTTGCAACATGTAAAAAAAATCGTAAAATATAAAATTTTCAATATAACTATGACGATTTGTTATGAGTGAATACATTCTTTTCTTATATTCTTCCTTTCATGGTAAGGAATTCTTGTAATTCCACTTCAGATAATGTAAAGCTAATCCTAAGATACAGGATCGATTTCTATTTCTTGACTTCATTAACCTTCTTCAATGTTTCTTACACCAAATTAATGAAAATATAAAATCAGTTGTGACTCATTTCATTTATTGGATTATATATCAACTGGATAAGAATATCCACAATATCCCAAAAATCACAATTCAGCTTCTTAATTAGTACAATATTATTCTACTGATACCAATAGTGATAAATCTTCATAATATTTGAAAATCAAAGATCATGAACTTTGATCTTATTAATTTGCTAGCCAAGTAATTTGTCCTCACCTAACTCTTCCCTATTTTACAATACGATAATATTAAATGATAGAAATAATTTTTCAATTTATCAATTATTTTCCTTTTATTCAGAATAAAAAGAGAAAAGACAAAGCAAAAAAAGAAGAAAACTTTTAAGACAGAAATAATTTGAGAACATATGGCCCTGATCGTTGATCTCTAATGTAGAAAAAAGAAATCTTCGTTTCACCAACAAATTGTATCTTAGAAAACATTGAATGTTTTCCTACATCAACGTATCACATGACACATACTAGCAAAAGGTTATTTTCACAGCTGATATCTTTAAGATACAAAAAAAAATTCGTCCAATATATCCAAACAACATTAATATTGATGAACAGAAAAGATCGAACGACATTTTCATTCTATGTTTATTATTTAAATATTCCCATAACTACTGGAATGTTGTTATTTATTCTATTTGTTAAATACACTTAACAATTTTTTTTTAACGATAGTTTTACATTCATTGAAAAATATACAATCCAGTTATCCAGTTATCAAATCTATCCTGCACTGTTTAATACTCCTTAAGTTATTTTAAACAATTTGAAATTTAAATTGTAGATGAAGCTGCTGTATCAACTACGCTATATTTAATCTGATTCATAGCTTTATTCCTTTATACATTATTTAATAACTGCATTTTAAAGCTGTTCAAAGAATTCCTTAATAGGTGCTATAAATTTTAATTTCTCTATTTAAGATTGTAAAGATTAGGTTTGGATAAGAAATATATCTCATCATTTCTTTTGGTAATCAAAAATCCAGTTTATTGTTGTCATATTTTGCTATTTTCGTTAATCGACATAATTATACTTCATATTTCTCTATAAGATAGTGAAATTTCTGTTCAATGAGTTGAAGCAATATCATCATCATAGTGTATCGATGATCAACTCTTCATTTATCATTTGATGAAATTCTCTGCATTTTATTCAACTGATTAAAGATGAACATAACTACTCACTCTCAAAAACAAATTTAATGAAATATTAATCTTTAAGCACTATCTCTTCTTTTGCATTTAATGAATTCACAGTCATAACAAATCAATCAGTTATTTGATGAAATACCACTGCCAGTAATTACGAATTTAAGAATACATCCAATTTAGCATTAATCAACTGAAAGATGAAAACACATCGCAAAATCATTTCCAGTTCGGAATTTAATTTTCCGGATTGTGCAATTTAAGCTATAAGCATTTGATAAATATGTCATGTGGCTTAAAGCACTAACAATGTCTCAATGATATATATATCCACATCTGATAAATATTTCGCATTTAGTGTGAAATAAAATTAATAATTTTAATTGAAATATATTAAAGATAACATTGAATATTGCACTCTACAACATATTATAAATTCAATTTTCATTCATTCAAAACTGATTGTTAAACCTTTTTCTTCTTTTCCGTTTTTTTAATTTGTGCATGAAAGAGAAAAACAGAGAGAAAGGGAGAGAGAGAGAAAATTGTTGATTGTATTGATGATAATAACTTCATCTATTTGACTGATTCCTACTAAATCTTTTTTCCGACAAATTACTATCATTAACCTTTCAGCAACAGTCGTCATTGATAAGTTATTTTTCCACGTCATTATTTTCACTTACTGTTTGTGAGCAAAAATTTTGAAATAAACATTTCAAATGGTCCATTGCTTTTCTTCTTTCTTTCTTTCTTTTTCTTCCGTTTTTCTAACTGAAAAGTGAAATAGAAGAATTTTTTATTATTTTTTAGGTATGATGGAATAGAAATAAGACGTATTGTTTGATGATTATAGAAATGAACAGTACCGGGATTTGTTTTATGCGAACAATTGGTTTCTTTACTGTTCAGCTGATATTTTTCATACTGCCATCAGTACAAAATGATGATGACCCTATTTTCATCTTATCATTCGTCTTATCCTATCATTTATCTATCGCACACATATATTATAATAGTTTTGTATTCAAATTTTTTTTGCAGATTTTATATAAAATGTTATTGTTGATAATATTATCGGTTGTATTCATAACTGAAAAAACAAATGGTTATGTTTCAAATATGAATTATATACCAATGGGTACAAATCCTACTTTATATCAACCAGGTTATGATCCAGTTATGCAACTTGATGCTGCTACTTTTCATGATACTGTATTCATGCAAAATCATGCGTTTGTGGTTGAATTCTACGCTGATTGGTAATCCTTCCAACATATCCCAAATCGTAGTCTAACACTGCAAACAAATCATTTTGTTTTTGTTTGTAAAAATCTGAAAATTTATTTTTAAGAAAAAAAAAAGGATATATATATAGTATTACTTTTTCTAAAATTCAATTCCAAATGGAATTATGATATTTGTAACTTATTTAAAAGGATTTATATGCTATTAATCGAAGGTGTGGACATTGTCGTGCCTTTGCTCCGTTTTATTTGGAGTTTGCATCTTCCATACGTTCATGGAAAGACGTTGTAACGGTGGCTGCAATTAACTGCGCTGATGTTGTCAACCAGAAGATTTGTAGCGATGAGGGAATCATCGGTTATCCAATGATTTTGGTTGGTATTTCAATCAACAAACCTTTTCTAACTGGATAATTGAGCAATTCCTGAGAAGTCATCAGTTGTTGGAAACAATGATTATGTCGAGTTCAAAATTTAGCATTCCCAAAATCTATAAGTAATTTAAATTTATTAGTTCAATAATTTTGGCTTATTTTTATTTTTACTTTTCATTTTACCAATTCAGTAATTTCCATTCATTTCCATTTTTTCTTTATTTTTCTCATATCCTTTTTTACTACATTTTTTATCTGATTTTATTTATTTTGTTTTTTTCCACTTTTTTATTTCGTTTTTCCTATTTTTTCAATATATATATATATATATATATATTAATCTTTTTTGATAAAATCCATTTCCATTAGAAATTAACCAAAACTAAATGTTTAATGCAAATCTTTTAAACAAACAATAAATATATGATAATTGAAATAAATGAATCTAAAGATAATAATATTCCCATATTCCAGTATTATCCTCGATATGCCCGAAGCCGTATCGATGCAATTAAGCTGGAGCCAAAACATTCTTTATCGCACATTAAAAGTCAACTCTTGCAAGCTATACGAAATGAATATAATCAGTTTCATTATGCAGATTGGCCAGATTTCACCTTTTTGACACCTGACAGGTTATTTTAGGCATCAGAAGAAATTATAAAGTTAATAGAAGTCCATTTTACGTCAAAAATTACGAATTTCGTTATCAAGATTCTAAATGGCATCCAATGCAGAATATTTCCAAATCTTGATGAGTGTTCGGGTTAATAAAAAATTCTTGAAAATGGTCGATAATGATGATCGCCAATAAATATCAAATAGTTAACTGAATCACTTTTTTTTCGAAAATTAAAACTAATCCCAAAAAACAGAGCTGATAATTTTGTATAATTTTCAGTGCAATGGCGCTGAGAAATTTTTGGAATCAAATGAGTGATTCTCATCAATTTCTTGTTTTGCTTTTCGAGCAGTTTGATAGTGTTGGCGTAGAATTCTTAATGGATATGTTTCCACTCCAAAGGACGGTACTTACTAGAAGAATTATTGTTTCTTCACCCGTTATTCGATCATTCACTATCTCACATTTACCATATATTCTGGTTTTTAAGCGTAATCAGGACAATCCTATTTATCAAAGTCCGTAAGTTTTCATTTCGTTTTGTCCCCATGATTTTTTTTTTATATGTTATATTTTTCAGCTTAACTAAAATACAAAGTAATGTTGGCTGGAGTTAATTTTTGTTCCAAACAAAACAGACTGGTTTTAAAGTAAACCTTTCGAAGTAGTAATTTCTCGTTCTTTTAAATTGGCTCAAATTCAAGTCAGTTTAAAAGATTGAGAAACTACTTCCGAAAATTTGCTGGAAACTCCAAAAACATCTATCAAAATAATGTATGAAATGCTACATGCATTACAAATTTCTGTTAAGTGTATTTTGTATTTTCAATTTCATTTACTTGCGAATAAATCCAGATATGGTTCGCATTCGTTGCAAGAAGTAATGAGGATAACATATGCGACACAAATTCCGCCTACATTTCTTACCGCTCCGGCACCATCATTACCTATTAGGCATCAAGTTATCGTACAATGCGATGTAGATTACAATAGGTTCGCATTAACTTTCTCATTCTAACAATTTGTTAAAATGACAGTTATATTTTCTTATTCCATTGAATTCATTGTTTATTTGAATTCTTCGTAAAAAACAAATGAGAGTATTTTGCTTATATCAAACTTTAAATTACGTAAAATTATACGTAACATTGGACGGAATTCGACGTCAAATATTAGTTGCATTACAATAATTTTTTGTCCATACAATCTTTCTTTTTTTGCACTTTGCAAATAAATTATAATTCGAATTAGTTTTTTTTCTTTGAAAAGATTTGATAATGAATTTAATTTGTTAGTGGTTAAATTTAAGATGTCGTGAATTGTACTACGTATCAGAGGTGGATATGTTGAAAGCGATGCGTATGGCCATATTTGATGAAGTAATTAAAACAGATAACAACATTACTGGTGCGAACTTCACAGCATTGCTGGACTTTATCAGTGTTCTTGCTGAAGTAATTTTTTTTTTCATTTCATTATTTTCACTTACTGTTATTCGATTAAAATATTTCAAAAATATAAACTTCTAAAAATGAAACTTTATTTTAGCATATGAATAATTTATGCTAATTTTTATTTCAAAATATAAATGACTACATTTCTTCCCCATATTTTCAGCATTTTCCTAATGCAACATCATTGCAAACAACAGAACGGAAATCATTCGCGGTAAATTGTTTCATTTCTCTGTCTAGTCGATATCGGATGACAGGTGGTGTTTGTAATTTATGCTAGTCCACTTTCTTAGGCTAACTCATCATCAGCAAATGTGAAATGAATTGGCTGAGTGCTTCACACTTATTATTTTACAGACCAGTATTCGACACTAAGTCGATGAATTAGGCTTAGTTATTAAGTTTGAAATTTGAATCAGAATAATGAAATTCGATCTTAAAATTTTCACTCGTCTCCCTTCACTTTATCTGTCTGGTGGTTCAAAATTATTTTGAACAAAAAAAAATCACCTTTTTAAATCGATAATCCGATCTATTTGCCTTGCATTTAAAAAATTTTCTTCATCTCAAATTCTCATTCCTTTCTTTCTCTTCGTTTCCTACATGATTCATAAAAACGGCCACCGGTCATCATCACTCAAATTGAAGTTTCTCGCGATAAATCTTTTCTGCTAAATATTATCGATAGCTGTCGATTGATGCATACCAATACCAGTCACTTTATTATAAATTGCTTTCAGTTAATTTTCCAATTTGAAGAATTTTTTTGTTTTCTATCTTTGCAGCCATTAAGTCAAAGTACACGAGCCAAATCAGTCTTCTTGCATCTTCGACATTTTCTCGAAGCAAATCGAGGAAAGGGTACAATTTTAACAACTGTATGGCGAAATCAATTCCTAAATATTGAAGTAAATTGATTAATGTATTCATTGAGAAAACTAACGCCATATATCGCATTTTTTTTGAAGTGTTCTTGTAGACTTTTAAAAATTAAAAGTTGGTAATGAATGGTAAAAAATGAAAATTTCCAGAGACTATATGGATATCCATTCCCAACGAATGCTTCATGGGAACATTGCAAAGGAACAACGCTCGGATATCGTGGTTATACATGTGGCTTATGGACAACATTTCATGCAATCACCGTTAATGCACTTATGCAAAGATTGCAATCACCCATTAGCCTGTTGTTCACTATCCGCGGTTGGATAGTCAATTTCTTTGGCTGCCTTGATTGTCGACAACATTTTTTACACATGACAACCACTGTCTATCCGTTGACTATACGCCGGGTGTGTTTTTCCTTTTTTTTAGTTCGTAGTATGATTTATTTACGCATCTTATTTTTGTAGATTTTCAGGAAGAGCAAATTTGAAAGATAACAAAAACAAATCATAGAAAGAAGTGAGAAATGGTTCAGGAAATTTTTTGACTATTTCAGATTAATTAATTGGCTTGAATTTTTGTCTTCTAAAATCCCTCAAATTTATCCGTTTTATTTCGAGCGAGCCTCATACTTGTTGAGAATTATCAATTCCTTTAAATAACAGATTTTATGTCAAACTTTAGATCTAATTAATTAAATTAGAGAGTGCCATTGTTACAGGTGCAAAATACCTACGACATGGTATTCTACCTGTGGCGTGCTCACAACATTGTTAATGACCGATTGCACGGAGATAAAACAACGGAAGACCCACAATTTGAGAAGCGACAATTCCCACCAATGTTCCTTTGCTCCGCATGCCATTCAAATGGAAAGTTCAGCAGGAAAAATGTCCGAAACTTCTTGATCAACTTCTACACAGCAATCAGGCCATACAATGAAACAAATCTTGTGTTGAATAGTCCAAAGCCATCCTAGCTTTTTTATCTCATATAGCGTCTGAATTTTATTTCATGTTGCTTAGTGTTAAATGCATGCAGACCATATCAGGTAAGTTTCCAATACCTGAACTGTCTTTCTAACACCTAAACTTCTAGGAGATCTATCTCTGTTACGATGCTACAGATAGGTGATATCGAAACAATGTGAAACATATTTCTGAAAGCTTTAAGCAAACTGAGACGAGATAGTCAACTACCACTAGGCAGTTTGTGCAACCAACAATTTGACAAACGAATTAACTTTATGGTTGGTATCGTATGTTTCTTATAGATATATTTGGAGTACGTGTTCTAAATATTATCACATAGAATCTCAATATTCCAAATGATCGGATGCATACTACCGCTTGCATACTTGCCTACTTTCATTTAGGATTTCGTTTTCTTTTATGAAACTTTCAAACAAATGCACTGTAAAGCGATTATATTTGTCAAAGGCTTGCAAGTGTGTCACTTCATAAACATTGTTACGATTTATTTCGAACACCATCGGGTTAATTTATAATTAGTGATTTTATTTCCACCTCACTACAATCTCCAAATCTTTCATTAGTCCTAATCACTTGAAAGTGAGATAGCTTTGATTTCTGATAAGATCTGCATTTCATTTGCAAACTGCTGAAATAAAATAGAATTCCAATTTAGAGCATTTTTTTCAAAAATAATTTAATTATATAATTCAAAATCTCAGTTGAATGTACAAGCTTGCTTGGATATGATAATCAAGATGTTGGGTGCTTTGTACAAATAATTTTTATTGTACATACATAGTGTTTCAACTATTTCATTTTCTTCATCAATTTATAAAATTTCAAGAGGTTTTAGCCCAGTACACAATAATAAGTAATTTCAACAAATAACAATGGTTACAAAATACTTACACAATAATAGTTGACAACATTTCCTTAGTCGTAGATTTTCAATATTCACAATTGGACACTTCTATAAAGGTGTGTATGTGACTCCTTATTCATGACCATTTTATATTGCATAAGGGGATAGTATTCTCAATTCGTTGGATAGCGTTCCCAATTCCGCTTTCAAATAAGTATATAGTTTTAATGTTTTCAATTCACAACGTTATTTTTCAGTCGTCAAGTGTAAATCGCTGCTTTTCTACCAAATTATTCAGAGTATTAAACCAAAAAATCAGTCAGCCAATATATGTACTGATCGACAAATTTAATTGACTAAGCCATTCCTACAATATGCATAAATAGGCTGTAATGTTAAGTTGCATGATAAATGATTGGTGTAAAGTAAGAGCAAAACTTTTTCTAAGATTTCTCTAAATCTTGTATTTTGAAAAACATATAATAACCGGTCACAATCTACCTTACTAGGTGATGCAAGTTAACTGAAGATAACACCCTTTTTTCGGGATTAGTTCTAATAATTACCATTGTTTCTGGAAGTAATGGAAGGCATGCTACGGTTATTTTTGTAAATGCTTTTTTTTCATACTTTCGAATATTATTATTTGAATATGGCGCGTTAAATTACTTCAGACAATTGCTACCAGAAAATTTTGAAGCTATGAATATTTTACTCTTCGGAATTATCGCAATCGCATTCGCATCCACTGTAACACAACGAAATGGTGCTAAAGCGTTGGGGCAAGGCGTGTTTTATTCATTGAATATGTCTAGTTTCTATAATGGGAGCTCAATGAATTTGGAGTGGAATATGTTGAAATCTATAATACATCCAAAAACAATTGCTGATGTGATTTTTGAGGCTTATAAAAGCAGAGTTAACAAGTTGATGGTTAGTTCAAAGGACATTTTCTTCTTTTAATAACTGTCATAGGAAGAAGACATGGCACTATCAATTCTGCAAATTTCATTTTTTGGTGAAGAAAATAGGAAATTTCCAGATTTCCAGAATAATTTGATAAGCATAAATTTGTTGTTTCCAAGGTTTTCAAAAACGTGCATTCCACATTAACCAAATTCACATCAATCTTTACTATCCAACAGCCATCAACAATGACAACAATGATTGGAACTAAAGATCCAACGTCATAAATTTCATTCGGACGCCAAGTACAATCACAATTGTGGCGTTCCAGTTTTCGAAAATTTATTGACTAATGAATCATCCCAATTTCTTAAGATTGTTCTTAAAATTTAAAACAATTATTCTTCAGAAGAATCGGGATACATACATCTATTTGCCAGCTTTGATTGGCATGATATTGGCGTTTTTAATCATATTGCTAATAATTTTCCTGAAGTTCATTTTCAAACGCTTGCACTTATTGCGTCTAATCGAGATCAAACAAACTAACAAGCAACCAGATGATAAGGCGGTGCTTATTCAGAATAAAAATTTGGATGATAATATGGATACAATACTTGTGTAAATTGTTTTTCTCTTGCAATTTCCGATTTGAAATTATTGGATATTAGTTACTTCAGTTCGAAATAAGCTTTAGCTAATAATCTTGCATGCTTGTGAAGAGGATTCTTCAACATTTTGCTTCTTACTGATTATTCTTTAGCTTTATTTGTTCTCATAATTCCGATAAATTTCTTAATTTCATTGCCGCGCCCACATTAAAGTTTATGTATTCATGCAATAACGGCTAATTAAAATGCTATCCTTAAAGATGGCAAATTTCAATTCTAAAGCCTGTGAACATCGATCCGAAAGGCAAAGTTTCGATCTTAAATCTTGCCGGAAGAGAAAGGAGTATCGACAAGAGTGGTAAACTTAACATGCATTGCGGATCACTAACAGCAACACATTGACTCACAATTAACCCGAACTACATTGGTCCTGTGACAAATAACTTGCCAATAACTTTCGGGAGACACTTGAGCACAATTCATCTCGGACGACACTCCCCACATCCACGAAACTGGTAACAAATACATCACCACGTTCAAATAAGTGCGATATTTCCACATATTTTAAATACGTTGCAATGCCTGGTTGAGTCCAATATGGAAAGTCTGATTACGATAATTTGACGAGTACTTTCAAAGCTCTATGGATTTGTTGAATGGGAATTGTGATAGCATGGAGCGTTACAAGGAAGCATTTATTGCTGCTATCGCCAAAGAGCCATCTGCACGGACAGACAAGGTTTTTACTCTTTTTTGATAGAAGTTTCTAATTACTGCCGAAAATCTTTGAATTAACTATCACTTAATGACCGTAAAAAGACTTTTACCGACTGTCAATTACCGATCAGCAAAGTCTATTGTCGCCATCATGGAATTTTTAGAGCTACGAGAATTAAACCTTGCTCATGTGCAAAGAGCAGTATATATTTTTTATTGGATATTTTCATCGGCTTTTTTTCAGGACTTAAAAATTATATATTCAAATTTGCGAATGTTAGACGTTTTTCATAACCTAAATGATGCACCACTTCGAGCAATCTGTTTTACTGCACGTTTTGAAAGACATCCAGCTAATTTTATTCTTTTTCGGTGAGAAATATGATTTGATTGTGTTTTTCTTTGATTAGAACCAAAATCAAAGCTGATACTTTTTTTTGAAATATTTTCTATGAAATTTCGTAATATGTGTGGATCAATTTAGATATATAGCAAAGAAATTCTTATTAGCTTTTTACATGCGTTAATTCTAGACAAGGCCAAGTTGCTACATGTTGGTACATACTACTTTCCGGTTGCGTTTTCATGGATGAACAAATCTACTTACCCTGCGACTGGTATACAATTTTCATTTTCGTTCTGTACGAAGTAAATATGGAAGTATTTAATGCCCACTAATCGTTTGGCTTTATAGTTTTTTGATAATCTAAAATTGGGTGGGGAAAATGTCGAGATAAACAAAAAGGAATTGTTATGTTGCTGTCATTGTAAGCTTGTCTAAAAAGGTCCTGCGTTGTTGTGATTGGTGGAATTCGGACTACCGGTCCATTACTGTTATTCCTCGCAAACGTCTATACCTCGCTGACTAACGTGAAAGTTTTGCAGGTTTGGCAAGCGGAATGGCTTGGATTATCGACGCAAAAATGATTGTATTGTTTTGCAACCAGCAGAAATGATTGTGGTCAGTTTCCATTGAACATAAAACATTAACTGACGACTGTTCTTTACTCTTATTCGGATGTTAAATAATCAGTTGATGCTTAATGTTTAATTAGATCAGTTATGTATAATAAATCGGATGGGGAGCGGCATATTTAATTTTCACTCCTAAAGCCATATCGCATTTCGTAAATGTAATACCTACTGGTCTTTTTTTCCAGATTGATTACCCAGATGTGAAGCATATAAAGGTGAATAAGGGACATATGTGTTCGACAGGAAATAGTAGCTGTTTACGCAATACATTATGCGCACTGAGCGCTACACCCACACCATCACCATCTGGCACGGTCACTGTTTCAATTCGTTCAAATGCCGACCCTGCTACTTCCAATTTATCGCTTCCGCCGCCTTCTCGTCTTTACAAAACTGGAAAGGCATCGTCTCTCAGTGCTACTGAATCACCAGTTTCTAGGTGTGAACGGAAAAAACACAGGTCTTTCCGTCGGGAAAGAGACGATATATCCCCTATTAATGGTACTGGTTCTGGTTATGCCTCAACATACAAAAGCCAGGTAAGTTTACTGAAAAAAAGATAATTGTTTATCAAACATATATGATGCAGTACTCTATGAGACTTTCGTTTCTATAAATTAATTTTTAAGGTATATTTGGATGGTCTGAATGTAGATGCGGATATTCGCCTCAAGGTGAAGCACAAAGCACGCAAATCCAATTCAATTTCGAATCCGAATAGTGGTGAACTTTATACACATTTATCAAGTACGGCTTCATCAAGTGCGAATGAAGATGATTTACACGGTGCGTTGCATATGTTTAATTATCTAAGCATAAATGAAAAGTCAGCCAAGTGATACTGTCTTATAGTAAATTCGATACAAACTACGTTTTATTCAGTGTGAAGTGCTGTATTTTCTTTATTTTTAGGACTTCCAGAAGCAGCAGTCGACAGCGAAGAAGACGACGAATCATGCCCATCATATGACAGTTTTCATGAATTGAAAGATAGCGTTCGTGAATGTCTTGAAAAGGAACCTTTTGAAAGAACAGCTGACGATATATGCACATTACTGGTGAAATTTTGTTAATATCTTCGTATGGAAATTCATCAGTTTTATTTTCCATGTATATGGGAATTAATTTAGATAGCGGATGTTCATACCACAAGTCGCATGTAGACTGATAATTTGGTATTCAAGAATTTCCAAAAATGCAGGATACATTAAGTCGAACTAGTTTTCAAATTTCTATTTATAAAAGTTTATCAACCGGAATGCGAAATGAAGCTGATTGTTTAAAACTTTTAATTTCCCAGACTTTACAATTTTCCAAACAAACAGTAGATAACATCATTCACGGAGAAACTATGTTTTAGGATTTCATGCAGCATATGTCTGCGTTGGCAACACTCCCGTTGAGCATAAAGCGCCAACTTTGCTTGAAAATGGTATTCGCTGTTGTATCGGAAGCGAATACAGTTGTTATGCAACATAACGAAAGGATTGATGCATGGTCAGTCATCGTAAATGGCCAGGTAGAAGTTGTGTTACCAGATGGCGAAAGGATCGAGTATAAACTTGGTGACTCATTTGGTGTACGACCAGATCTAGTCCCCCAGGTACATTTTCTTCTTATAACTTTGAATTTATAGTTCTCTCGGTCAAGAAAAAAATTCTTGAAAAATTGGGCAAAATTTTTCAAGTAATTCATTGTGGAAAACAGATGTCATAAGTGACTTGTTTCTTACGATTTGGATAAAGATGCCAGTGTATGCTAATTTTTGCTGTAAATACAAAATTTAGGTCTAATTATAAAAATTTCTAGTACCACGTAGGAGTAATGCGAACATTAGTTGACGATTGTGAATTTGTGCTGGTTGAACATCGAGATTATTGTAATATTATGAGTACTATAAGTGAGCATATCGAACAACATTCGGATGGAATCACTGGTGAAATCGTCTCAGAAATAGAACGGAGGTAACGATACCAACATTTTCACTGCTGTTTACCCATTTCGTCTAAGACAACAAAATATTTCGATGATCTTCCTATGTTCTTCGAATCTCCATAACTTGTGATACATTCAGCAAACTCATTATGTACTCTTTATAAAATATTTATAGTAACTGTTTGGGTTTAGATCAGTTGGTAATCAAGTGGGTCAGGTACTGATCAAAGCCAACCGAGATAAGCTGATCGAACATTTAGTTGAAGAAAGAGACACTGCAGTGGATGCGCATTATATTGAGGATTTTCTGCTTATGTATCGCGTATTCATCAGTGATCCAACCATGATTTTTGAGAAGCTGATGCACTGGTTCGCGGAGTCGAACTTAAGAGACAAGGTTTCCTGTATTTGAGTTTTTTTTTCTCCACCAAGTTTTATGAAAGAATCTTTGCTCACTGCAAAATCAGTCTGAATATTATGTGTAAAGTGACTAGTATATGGAAGTGAAAGTATTCAAGTAATGTTGAAATGTTTCACGACAAATGTGCTCAAAATTTGAGAAACACTGAAAAATTATTTTTTAGAGTTAACTATGATAGATTCTCCGAAGTTTCAGATTAACTACTGAATAGATTAAACAAGATTACTCTACAGTCGACAACATAGGCCTTTTTAAGAATATTAGTGCTCGACCGTGCCATGACCAGTGTGCAGTAGCACTGCTATTGTCAGATACGTTGTACTGAATAACGTATTATCTCTCGTGTTAGATTTTTTGATGACGATGAGTTTTACTTGAGCTGTTTGTCAGATTGCACGAATTGTGTTACTGTGGGTCAACAATCATTTCAATGACTTTGAGTGCAATGGTGACATGATGCAGTTGCTTGATCGCTTTGAGCAGGCTCTCGAACGCGATCAAATGCACAGTCAGCAGGTAACACTTGGATTATAGGCAAATTGAATGCTTTTAATTAGATGAAGCTCCTTATAAAATTATTGTGTAAAAATTGTATAAAATTAAGTATTAATGGTTTATTGATCATGCCATTCATACAACTAATTGCCAGCGTTGCCATTAACGTTTTTTATTACTCTCGTGCTGACGCAGGAGGATTTTTTTGTTTGCTTCTACACTGTTTCTTTGATTTATGTTAAATCCTCATTGTTTTAGGATTGATCTCGCAAAGTTCCGAAATATTAGATCGTCTTTTTATTTTAAACGTTCCTTTTCAGAAAGATTTTTTCTGAAAAGCAATCATTATGATCATTTTTACAGTCATTATTGAATATTGCGTGTAGTGTAAAATCTCGAACAAGGAACATCGTATATTCTCGTTCGAGTAGAGATCAGCCTCTTTCACTTTCAATTCTTGGTGGGAAAGAA